GTAAAAGATATCTCTAAGGTTAAAAAAAAAAAGATTATGAAAGCCAGTTTCTTACTCCATGTTTTAATTTTAGACCATATGTCTAGAGACTTCTTGCTTGTGAAAGTTGAGAAAGCACACCCTTCTATATTTAATTCAGTGCTTGCCCAGTCCCTTTGCCACAGCTTCTCCATTCCTTAGTTCTTTACTTTTATTTATCACTTCATTCGCATGATTTTATGGTTTAGTATCCTCCTCAAGAGGAACCTGTGGGCAATATACTATGTAGTATTGCATGTTTGAGAAAATGTCACCTTTCTTTATACTCAAAGGAGAGCTGTGGGTTAAGTTACTCTTTGCCCCAGAACTTGGAGACACTGCGTCACTGTTTTCTTGCTTTGAATGTTGCAGTGGAGGAATCTGAATTCAGTGTTTTCTTCTTTTTATGTGTTTTTTCCTGCCTACATTTCTTTCTTAAACCTAAAGTTTTTAGTATTGAGTGCACTTTATCATTTTTGGGAGGGGCAGAATAAGTTCTTTTATTTTGTATAGTCACATCTTCAGGGAAATTTTCTTCTTGTTATGGTTTTGAATATTTTTTCTTTTGTCTTTTCTAAAACCATTTTATACCTTCCCCCCATTTCATTTTACATGATTATCTTTAGTCCAGTGCTTCTCAAAAATTAAGCATAAGAATCACCCTGAAGACCTTCTAGAAACTGAGATCCCTGGGCCCTCTCTCTTCTGGTTCTACTGCATAGGCGTGTGTAGGATGGGGCCTGATGGTTTGTATTTTCCGACAAGCTCCCAGAGATGCTGATGGTGCAGATCCACAGACCTCTCTTGAGTAGCCCAGTAGTTTTGAAATTTTTGGTCTCCGGGTCCCATTCCTTTTTTTTTTTTTTTAATTGAGGTGTCCTTGGCATATATCATTGTTAGTTTAAGGTGTACAACACAATAATTTGATAATATGTATATATCGTGAAATGATCACCGTAATAGGTTAATATCCATCACCTTGCCTAGTTACATATTTTTTCCTTGAGATTTGCTCTTTAATAAGACATCTCTCGGCAACTGAAAACAGTGTGTCCAGTACCGTTAGCTACAATCGCAGTGCTGCATGTTACTTCCCAGGGCTTGTTTGTCAATCACTGGGAGTTCGGACCCTTTGACTTCTCTTACCCATGTTGTCAACCCTCACCCAGAACTCCTTGATTCTAAAAAATGTTGAGGTGCTCAAAGATATTAAAGCAGAAAATTTACAAATATGTATTAATTAATTTTAAAATAACTGATGAATCTATTATATAAATATAATATATTTTAATGAAAAAGAACTTTTCCAAAGCAAACAAAGACATTTACTGAGAAGAGTAACATTATTTTACATCATTGCAAGTCTCTTTACTGTGTGGCACTATTTTTTATTTTTAATTTTTTAAAATTATATTTTATTGATTGTTATTACAGTTGTCCCAACTTTGCCCCCTTTGTGCCCCTCCACCAAACAACCCTCACTCCTTCAAGCAATCCCCACACCATTGTTCATGTCCATGGGTCATGCATATAAGTTCTTTACTCCATTCTCTGTACTGTGCCATATATCCCACTGAGTATTCGGTAACTACCCATTTGTATTTCTTAATCCTTTTACCTCTTCACCCATTCCCCTATACCTCCCTTCCATCTGGCAGTCATCGAAATGCTCTCTGTAGCCCTGGCTGGTGTGGCTCAGTGGATTGAGTGCTGGCCTGTGAACCAAAGGGTCACTGGTTCAATTCCCAGTCAGGGCACATGCCTGAGTTTCTGGCTAGGTCCTCAGGAAGGGGCGTGTGAGAAGAAAGCACACATTGATGTTTCTCTCCCTCTCTTTCTCCTTTCTTTCCCCTCTCTCTAAAAACAAACAAACAAACAAACAACCTATTAAAAAATGCTGTCTGTATCCATGACTCTGTTCTTTAGATTCAGTTGTTATGTATTTATTGCCATTTTATTATTCATAGTTTTGATCTTCTTTTTCTTAAATAAGTCCCTTTAGTATTTCATATAATAATAGTTTGGTAATGATGAACTCCTTAGTTTTTTCTTATCTGAGGAAGCGCTTTATCTGCCCTTCCATTCTAAATGATAGCTTTGTAAAGCAGTCTTGGCTGTAGGTCCTTGCTTTTCATTACTTTGAATATTTCTTGTGAGACCCTTCTAGCCTGTAAAGTTTCTTTTGAGAAATTAGCTGACAGTCTCATAGGAACTTCCCTGTAGGTAACTAACTGCTTTTCTCTCGCTGCTTTTAAGATTCTCTCTTTATCTTTAATCTTTGGCATTTTGATTATGATGTGTCTTGGAGTGGCCCTCTTGGCATCCATCTTGTTTGGGACTCTCTGTGCTTCCTGGATTTGCATGTCTGTTTTCTTCACCAAATTAGGGAAGTTTTCTTTCACTATTTTTTCAAATAGACTTCCAATTTCTTGCTCTTTCTCTTCCCCTTCTGGCTGCCCCTATGAGGTGAATATTGGATCTCTTAAAGTTGTCCCAGAGGCTGTTTACAGTATCCTCACTTTTTGGATTCTTTTTTCTTCTTGTTGTTCTGATTGGTTGTTATTTGTTTTTTTATGTGCCAAATCATTGATTTGATTCTCAGCTTCATCCACTCTCAACTGTTGTTCCCTTGTAAATTGTTTTATATTTCAATTACTGTATCCTTCATTTCTGACTGGATCTTTTTTATGCTGTTGAGGTCCTCACTAAGTTTCTCGAGCATCCGTATAACCAGTGTTTTGAACTTTTCAGTGTTTTAAATGGAGATAGATTGCTTATCTCCATTTTGTCTAGTTCTTTTCTGGAATTTTGATCTGTTTTTTCATTCAGTCTCTTTGTCTCCTCATTTTGGCAGCCTCCCTATGTTTGTTTCTATGTATCAGGTAGAGCTGCCATGACTCTGTCTTGGTAGTGTGGCCTGATGTAGTTGGTGTCCTGAAGGGTCCAGTGACACAGCCTCCCCTATCACTCAAGCTAGGTATTGAGTATACTCTCCTCTTGTAGTTGAGTCTTGATTGCTTTTGGCAGGTCAATGGGAGGGATTTACGTAGGCTAGTCAGCTGCAAGGATTGGCTGTGACCACTGACCACCAACCTCTGCCCTCCGTGGAGGATCAGCTGTGCAGGGGCAGGGTGGTGGTACTCCAGCATGATCTGACACTGTCCACTAGGTGCACAGGCTTTTGTGGTTTCCTGTGTGGTGCAGGCCAAGGTCAGCCCCCACCTGTGTTTTGCTTGGGGCCATCCTACCTGGGCTCTAAAGCAGTCTGAGATGACTGCTGCTTTTGCTTGGAGATTCCCAGGTGAAGCCAAGCTGTGAATCTAGGCTAGCTGCTGCTAGTGCCATGCCTAGGGTCACTAAGCAAGAGCTAGGGGGGCTGTTGCTTGTTTGAGAGGGTTTAGAAAGTTGTGAAGCATGAGCCAAGATGAGTCATTCATATGGAAAAGTCTCTTAATAGCTTGGGTGGGCACTAAGTTAGGTAGGACTCTAGGTAGGACTGGAGTCTCAGGGGATCTCTAGGCTGGGGCAAACAGTCTTAACCAGGTTGATGGAGTCTCAGACATGGCACTAGCCTGCAGCTCTGTGGCTCTATGGGTGGAGGATCCATAAAAGGGACAGTGGCCTTTCTGTCTGGGAGAAAGCTGTTCCCCGACTCTCACTTTGATGCCAGATCCTTCTCGTCTTCCCTGTATGCCACTGGTGCCTTGCAAGCTGGTGCCCCGGTGCTGGAGTTGAGAGGGAATGTGTCTGAGTAGGTGAGTCTGTGTCTGGGCTCTTTAAGAGGAACTTGGGACTCCAGAAGTTTCTTCTACCATATGAGTCCCTGCTGGTTTTTGCAGCCAGAAGTTACGGGGACTTATCTTCCTGTCAGTAGAAGCCTGATGTGGGGCTGGGAATCCTCACTCCTGAGATATCCCTTCCAAATTTTTATCTGCCATATGTGGGTGTGGTACCAGCCCGTTCCACGTCTCTGTCCTTCCTACCACTCTAGGTGGATTGGTTTCTTTAATTTCATAGTTGTCAGACTTCCATTCAACTCAATTTCTGACAGTTCTGAGTGATGGTGGTTCTGTATTTTAGTTGTAGTTTTGACATGGTTGTGTGAAGAGGCGAGCCATGTCTGCCTACACTGTCATCTTGACTGGAAGTACAGTTGTCCAAATATTCATTTAATAAATATTGACTGAATTTCAACTACTACTAAGATTGGTTTTGAGAATTGTAAGAGACTGGATCAACAAAATATTCAAGAATGTTTATAAATGAGATTAAAAAGGGCAAATAAAAGGTGTAAATTGTAAAAAGTAGTACACAATTTAAAAGCATTCAACTTGATTTCTGATGGTTCTCAGCGGTGGTGGTTCTGTAAGTTAGTTGTAACTTTGATGCGGTTGTGTGAGGTGAGCTGTGTTTACCTGTGCTGCCCTCTTGACTGGAAATCCATTATGCGGCTTAGTGAAAGAGAGCTTTTACTTCCCCTCTGTTGGATATCACAAGTGATATAGCCTCTGTAAAGCTCTGTTGTACACTTGTGAGATAGTAAAAGTGAGAAAGCAGAATAACTTATAGGATTCTTTTGTGAGCTCCCTTAAGGGTCTTGGGGACTCCCCTCAGGGGTTCCTGGACCAAACTTTGAGAACCATTGTTTTATAGTAATGTTTATTTTTTTGTTTGTTTGTTTGAAGGAGAGTTATTTTTTAACTATTTTTTTAAAGTTTTTATTTATTTATTTTTAGAGAGAGAAGAGAGAGAGAGAGAGAGAGAGAGAGAGAGAGAGAGAGAAACATCAATGTGTGGTTGCTGGGGGTTATGGCCTGCAACCCAGAATGTATCCTGGCTGGGAATCGAACCTGCGACACTTCGGTTCGCAGCCCGCGCTCAATCCACTGAGCTACGCCAGCCAGGGCCCTGAAGGACAGTTATTTAAATTGGGTTGTAAGAGATTTGATAGTGTAGATTTTAAAAGCCTTTTGTATTTTCAGGTGACTTACTGAGTAACCTGTTGCAAAGTCCTAGTTCAGCCAAACTGTTGAATCAGCCAATCCCCATCCTCGATGCGGAGAGTGAGTATATCTGTTCCCTGGCCTTGGAGTGCCTGGCCCATCTCTTCAGTTGGATTCCTCTGTCTGCCAGCATCACCCCGTCCCTTCTTACCACCATCTTCCACTTTGCGCGCTTTGGCTGTGACATCCGGGCCAGAAAGATGGCATCAGTTAACGGCAACAGCCAGAACTGTGTGTTGGGTCAGGAACGTGGCCGGCTTGGGGTCCTGGCCATGTCTTGCATCAATGAACTCATGTCCAAGAACTGTGTGCCTATGGAATTTGAGGAGTATTTACTGCGTATGTTCCAGCAGACTTTCTACCTCCTGCAGAAAATCACCAAGGATAACAATGCCCACACGGTGAAGAGCAGGCTAGAAGAACTGGATGAGAGGTAATAAAAACAGGTGTGAAGTTGGCTGTGCCCTGAAAAGGGGCCTCGATTAGTTATCAGAGTATTCTGCATGGTGTCTGTAGTCCTCTTGGGTTTCAAAATTTGGGGCTCCTGGTGAGGAACAGAAAGGTAGGTGTGTACCAATAAGTCTAAGCTCAGCTGGACGGGCTAGGGTGGTTAAGGGAAATGAGGTGAGTTTGAAAAGTGCTTGTGAATTGTGTAGGTTTGTTGTCTTTTTTCCCCATCCATCTCCTGTCCTCCCTTCCCCCCCCGTCTTCCCCCTTCTCCTCACTATTTGCTTGCAGGTCTGAGGTGTTGCAGGAACTGAGACTGCTGCTCATGCGTAGCCAAGAACAGGAGAGGAGGTCCATGGAGGTACAGGAGTTACAATCACCCTTTCTCACTTGGTGTGGCTTGTCAGTTTTTACTGTTTGACTTCCCAAGTGAACATCAGGCAGCGTATAGGAATGTTACTCTACTGTAAGCTTCACACACATGGCAAGTGTTCATGAAAACAAAGGAGAGCTGTTCATGTGTGCATGGGCTGACATGGCACACACTTGTGTGTGTGTGTGTGTGTGTGGTTGTCCTTTTGAATGGAGTCTAAAATTACCTAACTTTTCTTTCTTAAGTGCTCTACAAGATGCCTCCCTCACAGTACCTACCCTGAGGCATGGTCTCATTTATTTCTCCTGTAGATGATGTCATTCATCTGTCTCACAGCTTCCACTAATGTATGCTACTGCAGGGCAGAAGCAAGAGGGGAAATTGAAACCTCTATTAACAACGTCATGTTGATTCTTCTGACACTTCCAAGCAGACAAATTATGTTGAAATAGTAAATATGTATAGATTGCCTGGCAGCCAAAGTTAATATTCTGATCAGTTTTCCTTGGCTTGTTTTCTGTTATTAAGCTATACACAGTTAATCCATTTCCTTTTCCTTAGACTAAATAACAATATAAAGCATCTAAAGTTAAGATGGTTTTAGTGCTTTTTAAATTTAGCAATTTTAATAAGTTTTTCTAAAGTTAAAAAATTGGTATATAAGATTATTTTGGTTTGTTTCCTTGTAAGCAAGCTTTGTATAAAATTTATCTGTATAATAACAAAAAACTCATAATCTGGTGTGGTAATATGTTTTGTTTTTTATCACTTGGTAATAGCTTTGTATATAAATTTGGAGGCATCAGTATTCAAACACAATTTTATATTTTTTTCTAGCATGGGTTAAGAAAGGCTGTATTTTCATATGTTAAAGAGAAAATCTCCCTGCCTGTATCGAGTGTTAAGTGTCAGCCCTTCTGATTTTTACTTGTAGCATAGTGTTTGGTTGGGATGGCTCACCTTCAGGTGGTATAGAAATGTCATTATGGATTATCTATCTTTGCACTGATTTTGTTATGTGTAACTTTTATGCTCTTGGTTTTATATTTTAATTCTATGCTTCCTATTGCCCTGCGAAAGCTGAGAGGTGCCTGGAAGCAGAAAGGTGACATAAACGATAGTGTGTGCTTGCTTCCTGGCTCTCGGGTCCCCCACCTCTAATTCTAAACAGCTAAGTCCGTTCTCAGTTGTTTAGGAGCTACTTAACCAGGTTCTCTGCTTCTCGTCTCCACCACTGCCTTTTTCCTAACTCTCCACTGCTCATGAGCACCTGTACCAGAAGGTGGGCAAGGGAAAGAAAATGAGGTGAAATAAAATTTATAGCTACTGCACAGCCTTGTGTGCATTCTCTAAAAAATTGAGTTGGAGATTAAAATAAAAGTGAGATTGCGGGATATTTTACCCATGACATCTCTTTATTTTTTATGGGTGGTAGGGAATTGAGTGCGTCTTTCTAAAGAGGGGTAACTGGATTGGTGAATTTGAAAATCCATATAAAAATACACTGTAATAAGCAGAGTGAGGAATGAGGAGTCCCTGCTCATTTAGTATTGGTGATTTAAAGGCATCAGAGAGAAGTGTCTTTTTACTTTTCTAAAAAGTCGATTCCAGTGCCTTACTGCTCTTCAAGTATTTGGCCCCAAGATCCTTATCACATAAATCACTGTTATTTTAGCTGCAAAGAAGTTTACATATGTGTGGAGGTCAGACCATTGGGCCACCCACAGGGCGATAGGTCCCAAGAACAACATGGAACATTTTATTTATGGTCTAATTTTGCTCCTCTGAATTATAGTCTTCTTCCTCCCCTTTATTATTTCATATGTCTGTGCTTTAAAAATGGTTGTTTTTGTAGTTATAAGCTTCAGAATTGGTTTTAACCATTATTTAATTTCTGGCTAGGGCCTATTATGTCTGTATCTTTTTTTTAATTGGTCTTTCAAATGTGATTTATGGAGATACGTCCATCTCATTTTCTAATCACCTTTTGGTATTTAGGGGCTTAAAATGACAGTTTCTGAAATGTGAGAGTGGTGACGTGCTGTGTGTTTAATAACAAAGGCTCTTATCCTTGCAGCTGTGACCCACACTCTTCTGGGAAATGACTGGGGATTCACTGATGTGAAAAGAGAGCACTGAGTTGGGAGCGGATGGTAGTTCCCTTCTGCCGTGAGCTGGCTGAGTGACCTTGGGCCGATCAAGGCCTTTCTCTCTGGGCCTCTCTGTAAAATGAAGCATCAGATTCATTGTTCCAAGGCTTTTCCAGCTCTGCCAGCCTTCTTCGCTTATTGTTGAAATCACTTTGGAGTGGATTGGGATGTGCTGTGTTTAATTACCACCGGGAGCTAATTAAACACGGGGCAGGCTTGAATATGTCTTACCTGGATGCCATGCCTTTTGTATAGCTTTGCTTTGTTTTGTGTGTGTGTGTGTGTGTGTGTGTGTGTGTGTGTGTTTAGCACATTCATTTTTAATATTTTGGCCTCCTAGCAAAAAAAAACCAGCCTTCCAGACCTGTTACATTAAAATGGCACACGTGATTTGCCCATTGACTTTTAGTACCATTTCTTTCCACTTTAATTGCGCCATACCACTAATGAATTAGAAAATATAAGAGCACTAGTTTATAAGATGCTTTAGTAGATGGTGTTTGAGGATTAAAGTTGCTTTTCTGCTATGTTTCAGGTGGTAATGGGATGAAAGGTTGCCTGACCTGTAGGTAATTGTCACAGGCCTTTATATTTTTAACTGAAAATGTAAATTTGTATAGTTCTTTACTGAAAGAAATTTGGACTGAATTTGAGTTTTCTTCTAAGGAGGTGGCTGTGTGTCTTATTGTCACCTTTTGTCTTCTTGTCTTACTTAGCTACATCGAGAAGTTTACTGACTTTCTGCGGCTCTTTGTGAGTGTTCACCTAAGAAGAATCGAGTCCTACTCCCAGTTTCCTGTGGTGGAGTTCTTGACACTTTTGTTTAAGTACACATTTCATCAGGTAATGCACTGGAACTGCCCATCCCTGCCTTCCAAAAGTCTACTTTGTTATTTTCAGGAGAAAGAACTACTTTATTTCCCAAACATTATATAGTGCTTACTATGTGAAGAATAACACATTTATTCTTCATAGCAGCCTTGTGAGGTAGGTATTATTATTATCTTCAGCTGCACTTTACAGATAAATAAACTGAGGCACAGAGAACTTGCTCAGGATCATAGAGGAAGTGATGGAGCCAGGATTTGAACCCATACGGTCTGTGCTCTCTTAACAACTATGATGTTGGAGAAGCAAAATTTAGAAAAACTCTGAAATGAGGGCCTTGGTTCTATAGCTGTCACTTAAACTTCTCACAAGGAGATTATAAAGAGGGAAGCTCTCAAGAATTAAGTTTTGGTGGATCCAGTTCCCCTCTTCCCAACAAATTTTCAGGAACTAGGCATGTAACCCTCAAAGTTCTTCCCTATATTGAATTTACATTTTAGTGACCCAGTACTTTTTTGTTTGTATATATTTTAACAGCATTATTGAGGTAAGATGTATATACTACTAAATCCACCCATTGTAATTGTACAGTGTGTAGTGTTCTCTCAATTTATGGACTTGCACAGTCATCGCCACCATCCAGTCGTAGACATTTCGTTCATGCCCTGTCCCTTGTGCCCATTGTGTTTTAAAATCAGCTTTTTATTGAAATATAACAAATACAACACACATACAGAAAAGTGTATAAATCGCACACGCACGGCTTGATGCATTTTTCCAAAGTGAACAAGCCGTGTAACCACCATTTAAGTCAAGAAACGGCATATTACCAGCACCCCCCAGAAGTCCCCTCCTGTCCTTTCCCAATTACTTCCCTCTCATTTTTCTCCAGAAGTAACCCCAATCCTGACTTTTAATATCCCAGGTTAGTTTCGCCTGTTTTAGAACTTCTCTAAATGGAAACATACAAGGTTTATTTGTTTTGTCTGGCTTTTTTCATTCAGTATTATGTTTGTGAAATTCATCTGTGCTGTTTGGCAGTAGTTTGTTGTTTTTCATTGCTTTATATAATAAGTCGTTATCTGAAAATTTATCCCACTGCTGATTTGGGCTGCTTTCAGTTTTGGTGACCAGGTACCACGTTGCAGGGAATGTATTTGCACACATTTTTGGGTGTGCATATGTAGCTCTTTCTTTTGGTATATATTAGGGATGAAATCACCAGTGAGGGCATTTGATTTTGTAAGGAGACTTATCTGGTTGTTTAAACCATTAATGTTGTAGCTTAATGAGGCTAGAGGAGAGGCAAGGGTCCAGGCTGGGAGGGGTGTGTGTGTGTGATGGAGGGCTTGGAGGAAGGATTTAGTGTATGAGCCAGCCTTTCTTCAGAGGCACTTGGTGCATAAGTCAGAGCACCTACTGTTAAGGGTGAACCTTCTTGGGAACGGGGAAGGGTGCAGGGGGAGGAGGATGGCCACGGTCTGACAGAGGGGCAGCGAGTGCAGAGCACCAGGAGGAGGTGATGACGTGGGAGCGTGAGGCTGGGGACGAGAAAGAGGCATCAGCGGTGGGAAGGTTTTGGGATGGGTACAGAGAAATTTTAAAGGGAACAGGAAGAAAGGAGGATTTGACAGATACTTAGGATAAATAAGTATAGCAGGTATAAAAGAGAGAAAAGCCAGTACTGATGTCAGAAAGGATGGGTCTGTTTGGGGACAATGGAATGAAAATGTCTTATGTTTTTTTTTCTTCCTATGAAAAAAGGGTTCTTTTAGTGTATGTGGTATGGAAGAAAGCTAAAAAAATGTGTTAGTGTGCATGTCTTAGGGCTACTTCTTTGGATTTGGACTCAAAAGTTTCGTGTTGACCTCTAGTTATTTCTGTTAGGTCTGTGTCCTTGGAAGAGTTTCTTGAATTTCATTTGATTTCAGTTCCTCACCTGAGGGGGAGAGACTGCAGTGGGCCTCTTCAGGGTCTTTCCCAGTGTTCATCTTTTATGATTCTTTCACTAGAATCCTACATGTTAGTTTTCCACTGAACTGAAAGTGGTAGTTTTATACACTTATATATACTATATTTGTATACTGGGAAAAGAAATAGATGTGGTAATGAAGCAAACCACGAGCTTCTTTCTTCCTCCTTTACCTGCAGGTCTCTGTCAGCTGAGCTCCCTTCTCTCCTGGCCTCCTGTGTGAGGACCGACCTTTCTGGTGCAGGCTCTTGGACTGTGGTGTCCTTTGGTCCGGGCAGAGGCAGATTCTGAACTTTGAGCAGAGGGGCAGGAACCTGGAAGCTGTTTTGTATGGTTCACTGTAGGGTAGGCAGCCCTTTGCCAGAGAGGCAGAGTGGAGAAAAGATGGCAGGCACACTGTAGGGTCAGAAGCTGGTAGTTGGAGAGTGTTTTGGGATAAGATTTAAGAATTAGAAATTAAGTGCTCTCTAGAGAAAGCTTTTAAGTTCTCATGTACTCATAGTGAGGACTTGCTTTATCACAGTTTACCGTATTTTGCTGTGTATAATGTGCACTTATTGCCCAGATTTGTGGGGGAAAAATAAGGATGTGCATTATACATGGGTGTAATGGCATAATAATCCGTGAATAATGCGCACAAAACCGTGGGTGTGCATCATGCGCGGGAAGTGCGTTGTACACGGCAAAATATGGTAAAGTGGGAAAATGTGTCTCTCCTCTTGTCTAGAGGGTTATTATGGGTGTACTCAATATTTTTTGTGTTTTGTTTCTAAATTTCATAAAAAGTTTATTGGTAAATATTTTGAAAGAATAGCAATAAGATAAAAATGGTATTGGTATCTTTCATTTACCATTTTCCTCTTCTCTTTCTTTTCCTACATTGTTTCTTTCCCTAAGTGTCTTGCTGCAGTCCCTCCAGCCATTAGTGGTCACCAGGCGTTTGCCTCCACTCTCACTTTCCTTGCTTGTTGACGTCCTGGGTGTCTGTATAAGCGAATGATTGCTGTCTTCCTGTTCCTTCCGTTACTGTAACATTACCAATTCCTTCTCGGTCTTGCATTTTTCATTTTGCTCCTTCTTCCTAAAACTCTCTGAAATAGTATGGCACAGGGGGTGGGGGAGGGCTCTGGCCCAGAGTCTTACGATCCACATTCTATTCGTGTTTCTGTTCCTTATCCTGTCACCTTGGGCAGGTAACTTCTGAGCCTTGGCTTCTTTGTAAAATGGGAAGAATAAAAATAACATCTGCCCCGTTTCCAGGACTATTGTGAAGATCATATAGGCCAGTGCAAATGATAACTAACCACTGCAAACCACTTGGAGATAAGAGTGGTGTCATTAGTTTCTTAAGGAAACGTGTCAGGATTTTTAGTGGTTACTCTTCCCTGGATCAGTATGGGTCTGGGAGAGTTCTGAAAAGTTGGATGACTTTCAAAGTGTGGTTAGCCTGTCATCTTTATGACTTCAACCATGTGTACACACAGCAGCTGTCCAAGGCCAGGTTGTGGGCAGTGAACAAGGTCTCCCAGTGGGGCCTGCCTGTGCAGATGTGGATGGCAGCGTTGCAGGTTTTACAGAGGTTTATCTGCCTCCGGCCTTGAGACACATAGTAAATCTTCAATTCAAAGGCATGTGTAATTACAAAGTACTTTGACATAGCCAAAAATCCTGGATTTATGTGTGGAGGGGGCTGGTGAGTATTTTCAAACCAAGGAAGGAGAACTGGATGACTGATCTGAGGGAAGCTCAGGAAGCCAAAGCCAGGGCGAGACGACATCCCCTGGCTGTGCAAGTCAAGTGGCTGCCCACCGGCTTCCCGTCTTATTCCCACGTGGCTTATCAGTTCTTTTTCCTGCCTATTTTATGTCATGTCAGGCACATCCTGGGTTTTGCAAAGTATGAGGTGGAGACAGGAAGTGTCTTTCTCTTTTCTGAGGATGGCCCTGTTGGCAGTCCTGATCGAACTGCAGCCATCTCGTTCCAGGGCCACCCACTGGGGTTGTGAGCTTGAGGTCTGCTGTTTTTTAAGTTACACTTTCCCACCTTAGGCTCATCCAGGTACAGAACTCCCACGGCATGCTACCACCCAATATTAGTTACTTCTTAAGCAGATTCCATACATGCCCATGTAAACTTCTGGATTTCCTTGTGCATCAGAAATGGAAGGAAAACTGATCCAATATAATGGTGTTATTTCTTCCCACACCTGATCCTGCTACCAGTTATGTGGTTCAGTCAAGCAGTCACAAGTGAAACCAGAGTCCTCGTAGGTGGCAAGTATTTGAGTGCATATGTAAGGGATTGGGGGACCACAAGTTGAAACTAAATGTGTATGAGAAGGATTAGATACTGGATAGTAGAATGCCTACATTTTAAATGAAATAGGAGCTCAAAGCTCTTGAGAGTCACTGCAGTCACACAAATGGCCCAGCACTAGGATCCTACAAAGACTCTCTCTCCTCTTCTCACTTTGTCCTTATCGACACTGGGTGAGAGGTTGCTGTGAGCCTGCTGGGCACTCCTACTTTTGCAGATGAGATAATACCTGAGAGTTGGACTTAACAAGCTCGTTTTCGATCTGTTATATAGGAAGATTGCAAATGGTCTTTCCTAATGTTCAAGTGTGTAAACTCGGCACCTTTGGAGCCTCTGAAACTTATGTTCGGTTTTGTAATAGTATGTAGTGGGAAGAGCATTTGACGGGGGTAAAGGGACCAGCTCCTTTCCCTGACATTGAATAAATCATATGTCTGGTTCTCAGTTTCTTTCTCTATGAAACAGAAATGAATTGGAAGATCTGTAAGAGTCTTCGTCATCACAGTCTCAGGTTTTAAGATAGGTGTTCGCTTGGCTTATTTTGTAACTCAGTTTGTCCCACGTAGTATCTCCCTAATGTGTTCCACGCTGCCCTTGTCTTGTTAGGTTCACCAGGTTCTAATGGCGAAGACTGACTAAAAGACCACCAGTGTGGTTACCGGGAGGTTTAGGGCATCTAGGCTTATGATGTAACATTCTGGTAATAGTAAACTGGTAGATGTGCTTCTGAGGAGTATTTGCATTAAGTAATTTCATTATCTGGATTTCTTTTGCACCATAGCCTACTCATGAAGGTTACTTCTCTTGTTTGGATATCTGGACACTCTTTTTGGACTATCTGACAAGTAAAATTAAAAGTCGTCTGGGAGACAAAGAAGCAGTTCTCAACAGGTAAACCCCAGAAATGTTGATATCTAGAACTAGTCATTTTTGCCATTTGTTTTTTTATGGCCTAATGGTCAACCATGCAGCCAGAGCTCTTTGGTGAAACGGAGTCACGTAAGCTGTTTAGGTAGTAATGCCATTGAATATTTTCTTCTTTCTTCCCCTTAATATCTCATTTTCTGAAAACAGTTTTTTCTGATTAAAAAAGTAATATGTATTGTTAATTTTTTAGGCATGATAATTGTCTTTGTTACTTTCTTTTTAATAGCATTACTGAAGTATTTTATTGTATAAAACAACATGACATCTAGGATTTGCTTTAAAATAATCCACTGGGAATAGAGGGGGACCTGGGTTGGCTATGTGTTGATAGTCAATATTGAACTTAGTTGGTTGGAACTTAGGGTTCATTATATTCTTACTCCTTTTGTGTTTGAAAATTTCCTAAACAAGGTAATGAATACTTGCCATGAAAAAAGGTATTTATTTTAGAAACCAGGAATAGAAAAATATAAAGAAGATAAGTTATCTGTAATTCCACAATCCAGAAATAATTGATTACTTTCATACATTTTTTATTGTATTTTTTGAAAATAGAAAATGGGGACATATTTTTCCCCCATGTTCCTTAAGCTCATTTTTCTTTCTTGTGGGCAGAAAGTGTTTCCTGCACACTGTGGTCACTATTTCATTTCAGGAATGAAACACTAAGCTGATGTATCTAGAATGGCTGGCATATTATATGTGCTCAGTACATGGCATCAGTGGTTGGTGGTGGTCACGAACACGCCTTTCCTCCGAAATGTGCCAAAGGGAGACCGTGAGGAGAATCCCCGCCTGGGAAGAGGTTGGGTAGAACCTCTAAAGCCCTTTCCATTGCTGAGGTTTTATGAGCTTTTAAAATTATAAACAGAATACTTGCATTTCAAGTTTAAACATTTGTACTTTTGTTCCCAGATACTAGTTTTGTGATTGCAAAATAGCTTCCAAGTTGCTCTGGTGCCAGGTGTAGTATATTCATGTATCAGAAACCTTATTACACGACAGTAGATCCTGGTTTGGTGAATTTGCCAACTATAAGTAATTGTGTTATTGAATGAGATTCTTCAAAGCAAAGGTACTTGTGCCAAATTCTCCTTCTTGGATGCCCAACCAGTGCATCCTTTGGTCCTGAGACTATGCCTAATTTTTCTGTATTTAGTGGTGGATATTCTTTCATATCTCTCAGACTCATTGGAAGAATAAACTGGAGAAATTAATAAACTGCAGATGCTTTTTAAAGCACAGTATAAATGTGTGGAAAATACGGTCTTATTGAGAAAACGTACACTAGCAGATTATTAAATACACACTGCAGATTGTTGTACCATTGGAAGGAGCAGTGTGGCGGAGTTTAAATTCTTTTTCTGCTTCATGGCAGTAGAGTTACTTTTGGTCAGATTATATGCTGACCACATTTCCTCTTGCAGAATTAGCACTCTAATACTTGTCTTGAAGGATGGCTAGGCTTCCATAAAATCATGTATACAGAATACCTGGCATAGCACCTAGCTTGTATCAGACCCTCAGTACATGGTCACAGTGATGACCCCAACCCTGATAACATTGTGGAGTGAAGTGACAGGGCCCCTGGATAGCCTAAAGGCTTTTGGCCTTTCTGCTGATGTTGACCTGTCTGCCCAGGTGTCTGTCATCTGATACCATCTGATATCACAGTTGTCAGTGGTTCTGGCTGACCACTTTTAACACTAGAGATTTTTCTCATTGATCATTCGATTATCATCATAAAATGAGGCTTTCTAATTTTTCATGACTTTTTAAAGAAAAATACACTTATAACACTTTTATGCCTTTAAAGAATAAAAATACCCAAACCCAAAACCTCCAAAGCTGGTCTGCGGTTTATGCTGTTAAAGAGGGACTGTCATCTGAAGGCCCGCTTGTCTTACCAGACAGCCCCAGTGGTCCAGGGTGGCAGACCACCCTGGAATTGTGCATGAGGTAGTCCACGGGGCCGCACAAAGAAAACAGTTGAACTATAACTGACGCATTTTATCTTTCCTCTTCTACACTATACATTTATATGAGTGTGTTCTCAAAAGGTTTTAAATGAAAGTTTTGAAAGTTGGACAGCCACTGTTCTAGGTTATAAAAGACCCTATTATATCAGAGTGCGCTGTTTTGCAGAAGCGGCCGATACTGGTAATTACCACATTTATTTTATCTAGAGCTTATAAATGTGATCAAATGTTTTTCAACTGATAAAATATGTCTGAAAGAAGTTGGGGTGCTTTTGGAATCACTTCTGGTTTGAGCCAGAATTTCAGAAGCAACCAATCTTGCAGGAAGTAGTCAAGAATGTTTTCTCAGTGTCTTAAGTGGGAAATGAAGGTGTGGTTAAGTCACAGAGGCAGCACTGAGTTCCTGTCCCTTGTGGTTTAAAGGTTTTGCATCATTCATCACAACAATGTGGTAGACATTGGTAGGCTACAAATTTAGAAGCACAAATGTGCATGGATTTATTTTTGGTTTTAAGGGCTTGGAAACTGGAGCTGTGCATGTTCCTTGCTCAGTAAGATTGCTCAAGAGCTTCTTGATCAGAGCTGGTGGGGACTCTAGAGCAGAGGTCCCCAACCTCTGGGCCACTGACCAGTGTGGGTCCAGGCATGTAAGGAACTGGGCTGCACAGCAGGAGGTGAGCCTGCATGTAATGCTCTAGAATCATCCTGCCTGCTCTGTGGAATGAATCATCTCTCCTGCCCCCTCCTGGTCTGTGGAAAAGTTGCCTTCCATGCAGCTGGTCCCTGGTGCCAAAAGGTTGGGGGCTGCTGCTTTAGAGAACTTGACTCCCAGTGTTAGTGTCCATAGCATACCCAGCTGCACAGAATTGTGGACCATCCTCATTGTTCAGATTTGCCATTTTGAGATGGTGTGGAGAGACCCGAGTTTCTGTCTCCTTTTCCTCATTTGTGCTTTGTGGATGGTTGTACCTACCTGATAAGTTGTTGAGAAAATGAAATGAACCAGTGTGTGTAAAGTGCCTTTGCTGACAGGAAGTGTTCAGTCGGTTTGTGTTGGTTTTCTTCCCCTTTCTCTCTCTCTTTTCTTTGTGCTTGTCAATGTGAAAGGGGCCACCGGTGTAGAAAGTTATTTTTACAGGAAGATGAGGAAACCTGAAGTGAGTTAAGCAACCTAAAGTTATTGAGTCATGACTTGTGAACCTGTTGTCATGAGAACGCGGACAGGAGCTGGCCACAGACCAGCCAGGGATTGCGGGTGACATTAGTTTGGATTGTAAACAAAAGTAGGTGAGCGTGAGAAAAATGGCTGCCCTTTTTTTCCCGAGTGGCTTTTCTGCTTTAATAAAGAGGAAGTGCCATTATGACATATGGCATTTTGATACAATTAATAGATACATGTTAATCAAGGCTCCAGTAGCTTTCTAGCTTCTGCCAAGAGAAATTCATGCTGTTGACTTCCTCAGAGAGCAAGTGACAGGGGTCTTAGTTATTTACTTCCGTATAGAGATGAAAAAGCTATCGAGGATTCTGCTTCAGTCCTTTGTAGTTATCTGACATGCAGTTTTGTCTCTTCATTGCCTCCGTGTTTATTTCTTTGTTCATTTGTTCTTTCATTCCTCCTATTTACTGAGCTCCTACTATGTAGTTGCCTTAACATGTAGAATTTTATTTAACTTCAGAAGAAGTTGGGATGCTTTGGGAATTACATCTGTGGCTTGAGCCATACACATCTGTAGGTTTATCTCTATTTTATATTATACATTTAATGCTACAAATTTCCATTGGAGCAGTGCTTTAGCTTTATCCACCAAATTTTAGTATGTTCTATTTTTCTTTTCGTTGTTTAGAGTATTTTTAAATTTCTCTTGAGATTTCTTCTTTGTTTAATTTCCCAATATTTAGAGATTTTCTATACATCATGTTATTGTTTTCTAGTTTATATTATCTGTAAGCATAGTTTGTGTGATTTCTGTTCTTTTCCATTTGTTAAGGTTTGTTTGTTTTATTAACCAGTTTTCTTGGTGATTGTTCATAGTGTACTTGAAGAGTACATTCTTCTGCTGTTGTGTGAAGTGTTTTATGAAGGTCAGGGCAGGTTGGTCGATTGTATTCGGCACGTTGTCTTTATCCTGCTTGTTCTGTCAGTTACCGAGAAAGGTAAACTCTCCAGGCATAACTGTGGGTTTATCTGTCTCTTTTCAGTTCTATCGGTTTGGCTTCCTTTGAGACTATGTTAGTTGCACACACATTTAGTTTTCTTTTCCAGTGTATCTGTTGAGTGACTGGGTCTCATTACATGAGGTTTTTTTAGTGGCTGCTCTGGTATTGCAGTGTGTATACTTAACATTGCACACTTCACTTACACTGTAATGTGGAAATCTTAGCAACATACAGGTCCTTTTACTTTCCCTTTTTTATATTGAGGTTGTCATATGTTTAACATCTGTGTACATTGAAAACCTCATCGGATAATATTCAGTTTTTGCTTTCATTCATCATATTTTAAAAATCTTAACAGGAGAAAGAGAGTCTATTGTCTATTGTATTTACGCAGACATTTGCCACTTCTCTTGCTTTCCCTTCATTTTTGAATTTCCAGGTTCCTTTCTCTTATTATCATTACCTTCTGTATTAATTAGCTTCGTCTGCTATAACAAACACTATCGACTGGTTGGCTTAAATAGCAGAAGTTTATTTTCTTACAGTTCTGGAGACTGGAATCCTAGATCAGGGTGCTGGCAGATGCGTTTTCTGGTGAGGACCCCTTCCTGGCTTGCAGATACCGTCTCCTCTCTCTGTCCTCGCACGGCCTGTCTTCTGTGCTGCGGGGGGGGGTGGCGGTGTGTTCTCTCTTGTCATTCCCTCTTCATAGAAAGGCACCGGTCCTATTGGATTCAGGGCCCACCCTTAGGACTCTACTTAACTTTTACTACCTTTTTATAGGTCTTATATTCAGATACCTTCAGAGTCTTTAAGTTTTCTATTAGCTGAATAAGACAATTTACAGATGACAGATTTTATCTGTCCTCTAGTCTGAAGTGGATTTTCTTTCCTAGCAAAATTCTGAAGTCACACTTTGGTTTAGGAGTTCAACATAAAAAATTTTAGTGGACACAATTCAGTTCAAAACACCTTCCATCTGAAGAACCTCATGGAGGACGGTTATAATACCTGCTTTAAAAGTCCAACATGGATGTGATTGTGAGGTTGGCATTTTCTGATTGCTTTTTTCCTTGATAAATGGTCAGTGTCACCTCATTCTTTGAATGTTGACTAATATTTTGGATCCTTTTACCTGTGTGCTCTACTAGCTTTAGGCATGTTTTCCATGTCCACAGTCACCTTGTGGTTAACAATGGGTGCTGAATCGACAGACATCAGAAGGGGGAGAGGTTGGATGAAAGAAACTTTCCCAGGGGCCCCACCCAATGACTTCTTTTAATAAGGCCTTGACCCTCTGCAAGTGAGGCTAGGAAATGCAGTCCTTCAGATGGCTTTAGTGCCCAGCGCTCCTTCCCTTCCTAAGGAGGGAGGGAAAGAAGGAGTGGGCAGTGGGTAGACAGCCGGAGCCTGCCACATCTGTGTATGGCCCCCAACTCGCACCAAACCCTTCAGGAGACGAGTTGCCTGAGTGAGCTTTGGCCTGGTTCCAAGAAGGCTTCAATTTTCTAAGTGATTTTTTTTTTTCAGCCTAAGTTGCAGTTAGTGACTCTGGTTGCTAAGGATTCCAGGTCTAATTTAGGGTTACCCTCTGCTTACAAAGTCTTTAAATTCTGTTTTAATTCAACAAGGTGGTTTACAGATGACAGATTTTTGTCTGTCCTATGGTCTGAAGTGGATTTTTTTTCCTAGCAAAATTGTGAAAATGTTTTGGTTTGTCGTAACAAATTATAGGGTGAAATTTATATACCTTTAGGAATTTATGTCCTGAGCAAATGGCAAATGTAAGCTCCAGGCTTGAGTGTTTGATCTTACTTTTCTCTGAAGTGTATTGAACTGGGATTTTGATTTTCTTGGCAATTTTTCCCACAGATATTGCCTATTTTATTAGTGATTTTCTCTGTCAGTATCCCTTCCAGGGCCGTGCTGAGTTGCCAATCTAATCTAGGTTGTTAAGTCATTTGTAAGCACTGAGGGGGCGGATTGTTATGGGGAAGGCTGGGCCTCCTTTCTGCCTCTAGTGAGTGAGCTCCTGTGCCCACCGAGCTCTGCAGTGTGGCAGTTCAGGAGAATTTTTAAGTGGTCTTTAGACTCTCTCTCTGCAGAGTCTCATCACATGAGTTGTGTAACTTTTTTTTTTAAGATTTTATTTATTTTCAGAGAGAAGGGAAGGGAGGGAGAAAGAGAGGGACAGAAATATTGATGTAGGAGAGAAACACTGACAGGTTGCCTCATGCATGTGCCCCTATCAGGGACTGGACCCGCAACCCAGGAGTGTGCCCTGACCAGGAATTGAACTAGTGACCTTTTGCTTTGTGGTGGACTCCCAACCAACTGAGCCACACCAGTTGGGGCAAGTTGTATAACTCTTAGACTAAATGGGCTATATTCGATCTTGGCACTGGTGAACTTCTGGCTTTGGTTATATTGTTGCCCTACTACTGACCTAGATAGACTGGATGGCTTATTAGGCTCCTGTCTGGAAAACAGAGACTACACTTAATTATTTTAAGAATTCAGTCTAGGAAGTCAAGTAAATGATTTTAGAGGGCTGGAAAAGTAAAAGGGGAACACTGAGATTCCAGATGACAACTACAGGTCTAGGGCTACAAAGGAAAGAAGTTGGGATTATTAAAGCATCAGAGGGCTGGACCCCAGGCAGCCAAGCTCACCTCTCTGAGGAGAGAAGCACCCCGCTGCCACAGAAGCTCCAGCAGGGGCCGCATGGAACCAGGACTCAGTCCTCTGAGGAGAGGGAATAACCTGGCTGCCGCTGGCACATCTGGGAGTGTGTGGTGAGACTGGTTCTGGGAGAGTGCAAGCCGGAACCTGGAGCCAGTTATTACTGCCAGGTGACCATTGTTGGGGTGACACTGCCGGGACAAGCAGCCCATATAGGGAGGATACAGTCCCCTCCGCTGCCTTCCTGTCTCCCTGCTGCAACCCTGTCGACAGAGTCTAAAGGGCCAAGGACAGATGTGCTTTGCATAGTGTCAGCTCCAGCGTCACACAGCACGGAGAGGAAATTGGCACTGAGAGCTGAATAAGCAGCACGGACGGTTTGCTCTGTGAGTGGGAGCAATCCCTGAATTTACCTGAGAGACATTTCAGGACAGGCAAGCATTTAGGCAACAGGATTTGTTCTTGCAAATTAGCGGTTTGTTGGCCCTTGTGTTAGCAGCTGTTGTGTGTAAGTTGGTGTCTTCCGAGTTAAGTTCTTATCACATGTGAGCAATATCCAAGCCTTGGGCTCCAAGTGTTTCTGTGAGAAATTAATCTTAGACATAGATCAAAGTGCCAGGGTTTCCCCAGGCTTTTTTTACATTTCTTCATTTAGGTTGTAAGTGTCCTTAAAACTGACTAAAGAGTAGGTTTGGGGGAGTGGGTTCAGCAGGCTCAAAACCCGTTGGTGGTCTTTGTATAGAGAACATGGGGTGTTGAGTTAGGGAGCCCTGGGTTCAAATCAGCTAGCGGTCAGCTGCAGTTCTCTCATCAGAAAAAATACCGTTAATACCATTTACCTCTCGTAGTTGTTAAAAAATCACTGGGTTAATCCATATTTAATACATGTAGTACCTGTAATTCCCTGGCAACCACTGAGAAATAACCCAAAAATTTATGGTAAAAGAAATGCCAAGGTATTTAAAATGGCACACTAGATAGCTACTTAACACAAAATGGAGGAATTGAGGAAAAGATATAGAGAAAATAAATAGCAAAATGGCAGAAGTCCTTTCTTATCAGTGATTACATTGAATATAAAGGATTAACTTCTAGTTAAAGAGCAGAAATCAACAGAATGGATTAAAAGCCAGTGGTCCAACTGTCTGTTGTCTACAAGAGACTCACTTCAGTTTAAAAGACACAGATAGGTTGAAATTAGAGGAATAGAAAAAGATATTCAATGCAAACAATAACCAAAAGAGGTCTGGGTTAGTTATGCTAATATCAGACAAAATTACTTAAAGGCAAAAATTGCTACAGAGACAAGGAAGGACGTTATGTAATGATACAGGGGTCAGTCCATCAAGAAGGTGCCGGAACGCAGTTAAATGAAGGCATATCCCCGCTGCTGTTCCGCTCCCACACACACACCTGTAAACCAAGTTTAGTTGTGGTGCTCCTTTTGTATGGTAACTCAGTACGTGACGCAATTCCTTTCATAGTGCAGGAAGCCTTTTTGAAATCGTAGGCTAAAGGTTTGCTTTCACCTGATGTTGAATTTCTCCCTGCCATGTAGGTACGAAGATGCCCTAGTCCTCTTGCTCACGGAGGTGTTGAATCGAATCCAGTTCAGATACAACCAGGCCCAGCTGGAGGAGTTAGATGACGAGACTCTGGATGACGATGTAAGCAGCGCCCCCTAATGGACCTTCAGTCCCGGCCATGATGCAGTGTGCGCCAGGGTGGGCGCGTGGGACCTGTCAGCCCTCTGCTCTGGGGACTGTTTTTAAGCCAGCGTAGTCTTAATGGTTTGAGTTGTTCATTTGAAATTTATATCCTGCCAGTCTCCTTGAGTTTATTAACTGTAGACAAAGTTTTACAGGCATTTTTACCAATATGGACTAGAGATGTAAGTACATGCATACAGTGAAAAGTGGTTTAATAAGAACTCTGTGTCCCTCTGTCTGGCACCCATACCTCTGCTTCCCACTCTGGGTAACAAGTAAAAGTTGGATGCTAGTGGGAGTACTTAAAGCGATACTAAAATGATAAAGCTAGAATGGAAGGAAATTTCCTTTGTACACTTTATAAACTGATACGTTTTAAAATAAATTTTGAATTTATTGATGCTGATGTACCCACATTGATGAGGAAAATGTCTATAAGGACACAGCTCCACTGTTCTCTTTTACTGTTTCTTTAAATTGACTTTAGAGAGAGAGAGGAAGGGAGAAAGAAACATTATTTTGTTGTTTCACATATTTTTGCATTCATTGGTTGTTTCTCGGGTGTGCCCTGACCTGGGATCAAGCCCGCAACCTGGGTGTATCAGGACAACGCTTTAAATAACTGAGCTACCCAGCCAGGGCCCCAGTGTTGTTTTTTCTTAACCACCATGTAGTTCAGAATTTTCAAGTCACTGATGTGGCTTAAGAATATGCCACAGTGACTGTGGCATAATCAAAATCAAGACATTGAGGGTAACCATGTTTGGGTCAGAAAGAACCCTGTACTTGGAACTAGGTGGCCTGGATTTGAATCTCTGCGGCCTTGGGCATGAAGGAGATAGAGGTCTGGGCATTGAATTTCTCTGAGCCTTAGTTTTCTCATCTCCCAAAATGAGGATGGTATGTCTGTGTTGATAGTTACATGAGGGTAGTACGTGGGGAAGGACTGGCTACATGCCTGGTGCCTGCTAACTGCTTGGTAAACTTCAGCGTCACTTCTTGTTAGCTGTGTGATTTAGGCCAGCCCTTCTTATATTTTAAGTGGATAAGAATTCACTAACACACATGTTAAACAGATTGGACTTAGGAGGTTTGGGTGGGAGCCACAGCATTTGCATTTCCAACAAGTCCCCAGGAGATGCCGATGCTGCCTTTCTGTAGACCATTCTTCAAGTGGCACTGATTTGGTCAGTTACAGAACATGGCACTGGACGGTCTTGGGAGGCATGAGTGACCGGCTCCTATAGCTGCAATGATGGAAGGTGGGCTGGATGGAGCATTTCCCAGGGGCTTTTAATTTATGTTTCTATGACTGTTGGGGGGAAAGTAGGTCATTCTGCATGGATCATCTGCTTTCTTATGAAAAAGCTTTTAATGACATTAATTTATTGGATGTAAAAATATATATTTAGCTTGGCCTTTTTAAAGTTCCAATTAACCTGGTTCCCTCATTTGCCATTTCTTCAAACTGGTATGTCAAAGAGTGGACTTGAGGCTGAGGACAGATTGGCAGGGAGAAGGATGAGACTGCCTGTTTGGAGCACTGACCCTTCTGTGTTTTCCCTGCAGCAGCAGACAGAGTGGCAGCGGTACTTACGCCAGAGCCTGGAGGTAGTGGCCAAAGTGATGGAGCTCCTTCCCACACATGCCTTCTCAACACTGGTAACTCACTATTTGGAGGGGGATGAAGAGCCTGATGATTTCCCTGCCCACATAATATGAGTAGCAAGGCTTTTTTGCTCTCTGGTATTATAAAATATGTATATATATTCTAAACAGAATTATTACTGTAACTGACCCTCAAATGGATCAAATGTTAATATTTTTCCAAAATATTTTAGATCCAGCTTTTGGAAGCCCTGTTTTTCTTTCCTGAACTCTTGTATGTAATAGAACTTTACTAATGCCTTCATCAGTAGCTCAAAAGTAGCCAGGCCAAATAGAAGATTTATTTATATGAATTACATTGCTGAAAAGCTAGCCATTGCAAAGCTCACTCTTAGCGAATTGCTGGCACTCTGCCTGTATTTACATGTTATAATCTTTAGTCATAGGACTGATTTCATTGACTAAGTGGTACTTGTGTTTTGAGGAGATTTCATTAAGCTTATCTCTTCTTCAAAGGCAAGGTAATTTATTGGGGTCAGCTTTGCATTGCACAGCCCAGCTGTATCTTGTGTTCTCTTACGGAGTGTGCCACTTCATCATTTACTGTTCTCAGGGAATCTGTCCCATTAAAGTTTTGTCTTTATCTTAATGGGGAACTACCAGGTTAGAAAAAAAAGATACAGCCCTGGTTATGAGCATCCTGCCTGCTAAGTAAGTAAGGGAGAGCGAGTTTCAAATGGTTTGGCCTGTCTTTTCACTTCACCGTACACTGTAACGAAGGCACACCTGTGTTTCTCTTGGGGCTAGGGTTTGCCTTGGATCTGAAAGGAGATAGCCTGTTTCAGAACTCTAAAAGGATCAGATCATTTTGGGGCTTGATGTCCTCTCCTAGGAACATAATAGTCATACCAAGCATCTATTGCTTTGTTTAAAAAAAGTATCAAACTGATGTTATTTTCTTTTTTAGTCCAAATATTGATTGGTGGTTTCAGTTGTAGAAATTGTTGGGGGTGGAGACACTGAAGGAAGCCATCTTTTCTTAGTGGCACATAAAGGTTCCCAGAGAAAAGTTTTTATCTCCCACTCCCCCCATGGCTACTTATACTGTTCTAATGGTAAAATGCTGTTAAAACTTACATTTATGTTTTTTTTTTAATCATTGTTTCTTTGTTTTCAGTTCCCAGTTCTTCAGGACAATTTAGACGTTTATCTGGGGTTACAGCAGTTTATAGTTACTTCGGGGTCAGGTAAACTGGTTTTTATTTTCTAATCTAACCAATGTTTAAAAAAATGGACTAATATTTCATTACTGCGTTCTTTGCTGTCAGAACATGGTTTCTCCGCTGCCACTTCCCTGCTGCTCTGTCTCCCCCCATGTGTAAACAGGAAGGAATCATGATGCGTAGGAGCGGGGGAGGGGAAAGATGAGGCTGACAGTGTATTCCAGAGAGGTGTTTCAGTGGGGAGGGAGGGGGGATAATATGGAACAAAAGGTAGAGCTTTTTAAAAACCCTAGCAATAAAGATGCCTTTATGTCCTTTATTTATATAGTTAGTTAACTAGTTCACGTGTTTTATTAACCCAAATACAATGATTTGTCTTCTGGTTTGTTGAGGCAACAGGTCAGACAGCATTTGCCACCATACTGTCTGGCAAAGTGGCCATACAATCTCTGGCATCACAGTCATCTGAAGGGCACTCCTGACGAAGGTGGCCGGTTTTGCTGTTCGCATCCACTCTGTAGTGTTTCAGCACAGCCAGCTTAGCCTTTCACTGAGGCTTATTCTTCACTTGTGCTCGCCCCACTCTGGCGAGTGAGGTGAGACTTCCTCCTTTCTTAGCACCACCACGAAGTCTCAACGCAAGGTGATGCGTGGGCTCCTTTGGAATGTTGCAGTAGACACAGCGCGCCCGTCTGCGCTTGGCTGGCCAGCGGAGATCAGTCTTAGCTGATCGGGGAACTCCTTCCTTATCCCGGGTCTTGGCCTTTACATTTTTCTATTGTATCCGAGGGTTCAACCTTGAACTCTCAAGGTTGCAAATGCAAATGGTCTTCCCCATAAGGCAGGGCTGTCAAATTCATTTTCACCGGGGGCCACATCAGCCTTGTGGTTGCCTTCAAAGGGCTGAATAAAATTTCAACTCCTAATAGTTAAGGGGTAGCTACATTTATAGAGTCCTAAAATTACATTCGGCCCTTTGAAGGCAACCTCGAGGCTGATGTGCCCCTGGTGAAAATGAGTTTGACACTCTTGCCATAAAGGTTGTCACAAAAATCTGCATCTTGGCAGCAATTTCACCACAGATGGTAGATTAGAAAGGAAGTTTATGTCCTTTAAACCATCAAGTATGCTAGGAAAAAACAACCCTGGACTTTGCTGTGATGTGCTCGCTCTTCTCTGGTTTTTAGAATCCAGTGGGACATAAGAGCAACCCCAAGCAAGCCGAGGCAAGGTGGGGCGTGCGATGGCTAGTCAGCAATACCTTTCCTGTTGTGAGTGGCCTGAGGGTGCCTCTGGTCAAAGTCAGTTGGAAAGGCTCTGGGCTGCCATCTACAGGTTTCACCTGCTGGGGGTTTAGGGTTAGCTTTCTTTTTTGTTACTGTATTGATAGTAATAATAATAACCTCCATTTGTGAAACACTCATTACATACCAGGCATTATATTACTTGCTTGTTATTTAATTCTCTCATGCCCTGTGAGGTGTAAAGCACTAATATTAGTAACCCCTGTTTTACAAAGAAGGAAGTTGATGTTCAGAGATGTTAATTTATGGAAAGTCACATAGCTTGTTAGTGCTACTCCCTAGATAGTATAATGGGGAATTATAAAAAGTTGAATTAACTAAAATCTGGCATTCATTATATCAGCTAAAAACAGCAGACACTTAATACCGTACTTGCAAATACACCTGTGCCCCCCACCCTCCCATCTTCTATAGACATTTTACAGGGCTTTCCTTACAGGAGTTGTGTCTGGCCTCAGCCTTTGACCCCTCTGTTGTGTAACTGCTATGTCGGCCTGGCACAGAGCTGCCCAAGGTGCAACCCAGCTTCTGGATAAACTTGTTATTCATGGCAGAACTTCCCTGGGAAGCTCTTTATGAGACTGCCCTTCTCTGTGGCCGTGACGGCTTGTTTCTATGGCTATATTAGCTTCTAAATAATTCACTGGGCCCCAGGAGGTTGATGGGACTTGGCACGTTCCAAGTATAGGCCCTAGTTTTGTAGATAGGATGAGGGCAGCTTATACAGAACTTTGAAAAAGACCACTTTTCAAAGCAAACATGCCGGTAAAGTATGCTGCTAATATTAATGAAAATCATTTGACTGTATACATATGCTACAGATTTTTCCATAGTCCATTTTCTGGGAAAAACTGTGCCCTGGTGGTCTCTCCTAGAATGTATTCAGTGCCCTAAAGACAGTATTCTTGAGGGCACTGGATAAATGATCTTAAAAAGAATCTGGAACATGTATTCCCTCACACTCAAAAATTGATCCCTGGGTTTCCTTTTTAGTGTTATAGCCAACTTTACATTACATTGGGTTTGTCTCCTGGTGAAAACCTGCAGTGATTCTTAAGTTGTTTTTCTGAGACACAGCTGATGACTTAGAGCTTCTTATCCAGTGATAATGTGATCTATTTTTCTCTAAGTAAAATATCATATACCTGCTCTCATTGAAGTCCATTTACTGGCAAATTTCACAGTGCTTTTGGCTTTTCTAGGTCATTTATAAATTTCATCCCCAGCCCGATCCATAGTGCATAATCCAATGACAAAACCTCTTAGGCCAGAGAAATACTTAATGTATTGTCTTAAATACATTAAGCTTTTTTATCTATGACGAAGCATTCCCCATTCCTAGGCAGCTCAAAAGCCAAGTTTCCAATGCAAGGCTATTAAAAAGTGGAACTCTGAGTACATTCTGTCTCTGGTTCCCATGGACATTCACCCTCTCAAATAATGTCCATGCTGTGTTAGTCAACCTTACTGCCTCATAACAGAAACCATGTTATCCTTTCTTTGAGGAGTATGGCCCACTTCTGTTACTCACATTTCTCTAGCCAGCCTTTAATTCTGGGGGTCTCCTCTGGAGTGTGTGGATGAGAGTCTCACACATACTCTGCTACTGGTCTTCCTGCTTCCACTCCCTTAGTAAGATCCACGGCAGAGCACAGTGCTGCCACGTGCCAGTTGCTGTGTGCTTTCTCACCCCTGAGGTGCCTCATGTTCACTGTGTCTTTCCCACCAGGCGTGTTTTGAGAAATCCTCTCATTGGGGATTGTGCTTCTGGTACTGCATTTGTGTTCTTACATGGCCCTAGAGTATCCCTTTTGTTTGTAGGTGGTCATGCCATTGCTCACTGAGCTCTTCCTTTGTTGGGGCAGTGGTTCTGCGCTAAGTAACTTCATTAAGTTTTCTGTTTAGCCATGTAGACTTTCCTGCCTAAGAGAGTGCTTCATCTACAATATATATGATTTTTGGAGTTCTTTGTTCTGCTGGGGACCATTTGTGACTTGTTCTCTTAGGGCAGGATACTGCAAGTGCTGATTTTCATAGCTTTGCCTCTTCAAAAAGAGAAGACTGAATTACATTAACATTAATACGTTTTTATCCAAGGCAGTGATTTCCAAGGAGCTGTTCTTTGGATGTGGCTTAGAGCACATCTGGGTAACTTCAGGAGGGCTTGGTTTGTGGCTGTGATGTTTTCTCTCTCTCAGATCTATGTGTAGCAGTGTTCTCTTCTAAGGGTTCCACTTTGCAGGTGTTCTGTGCTATTGGGGAGAAATTTAACCTTAGCTAAATAGAAGAAAATGCAGGTGAATCTGAATAGCTTTTCTCAGTGGGAGCTCTAGCCTCCCTCCTTGAGCTGAGGTGGTACCTTGCGCAGTTCGGCGGCGGTGGTGGTATGGGGTTTCTAGGCGAAGGGGGGAACTGGGGGGCACTTGGGTTAGTGGTGCTTAATGCCTGTGTTTGTCTGCCATGCAGGCAGAGCAGAAAGGAACCAGCTGCAGTTTTGATTAACATACACCTTAGATGGCACATATGTGTTAAGTTGAATTATATGGAATTGCAGTTTTGTTAGGTCAGAAATGGTCCAATACCAGCAATTTCATATGGTTCAAATGAATAGTTTAATAAAACACACACACAGCAGTTCTGGGGTGTTTTTCTTTGTAGGTGCTGCTCTTTTTTGGACAGATTAGGGCAGGTTTGAAGGGGAATGTCTAGGATGGCAAGGATTCTTGGAAGGAGGGTAACATGGGTGATAGTGGAAGGGACACCCAGGGATATATTTCAGTCAGGAGATTTGCAGGGATGTTACCCCTGTCTTCACATCTGTCCAAGGTTGCCGTGTGTCATCAGGCTTAGGCTTGTTGTGTATCCTACCCTTCGGGAGAGGGACAAGGGGTAATAAGGAGGAATTTATAGGGAGACAAATTTCCCATGTTGTTGACCAAGTTGTTCAGAGATGGAAGGCTCCCTCAAAGAGGCGCCGGGCTCTCTGGCCGGTGTCCAGGAAAAGGCTGAAGGGCGGGGGGGAGGGCATGCGTCAGGTGCATTTGTGTGGACGCAGTGGCAGAGGGGCAGGCCTGGGCAGGACAACTTTTAAGCTGCCTAATGACTGTTAGGGACTGTACTCAAATGGGAACTTGATTTAGGATACTGTTTTGATTTTTAAAAGAGAAACAATGTTTCCCTCCATGCTTAAAATATTTAAAAACCTAGTTCTTAGGTATACCTAAGGGTACCTAGTTCTAGGTGTTAAGCACAACGAATAAGTTGAAACCTAGTGATCAGGGTAGAGCTGCGTGGAAGATGAAGATGGGCGCATACATTAGTGTGAGGGGCTACAGATGCTAATTCAAAACCCACCCATCTGGCTCTTTGAAAGTCGAGCTGGCTTCATGTCTTTGGGCCTGTACCACTACATCCAGTCTCCCAGGGTTTATTTCCTGCAGAGCCCTAAGGATTGGCTGGCATGCAGAGGAACAAGGGGTTTTAGAAATTTACCCTGGGAGTTGGTTACCTAGTTGTAACCCTGAAAATTTGAACATTTAGAAGGTGCATAATTGTGCTCCTTTTGTCAACCTGGAGATGAGGAGAAGGGCAGTGTTCCCTTTCGTGTGACCCAGTGTGACCAGAGGTATCTCTCGGTTCGGTGTGTTCTGTGGGCTCATCGGGCTGACAGCCTGGGATGGTCCTCCTTGTGCTCTGACTGTGGGATCTGGCTCACTCTTCTGGACACTCACTCTGGTGGCCTCACGGGGCTGCCTGTGGGCTGACAGTCCTGTCTTCTGCACTGAGGCACATGTGGAGTGTAGGAGGGAGGAACAAGCAATTGGGGGGTAGTCAGAGTTATCCTTTGTCTCTGGCTCTCTCCTTGTGAGGTCCTTCCTTGAGCTGCCCCATCCTTTTGTTCTTCTTCTCCTTGGGATGTGACCTACTGTAGCAACGCCTGGCCAAAGTGTCCCCCTTTCCAGTCTTCTGTCATCCCTTGGAGGCTGTCAAAGGCTCTGTTCCCAGACTCGTCACTTGGGAGTCAGTATAGGATCTGAGGTATCAAACTCGCTGCTTTATCCACCACCTTTTTCATAGGTGTTCAGCCTTGCTGGCTTTCTCCCCTTAGATATTACTTATCCATATTCACCTTTTAATACTAAAGTGAATATTCCCAAGGGCAATGTGAGGGAATTAAGCTCCTGAGATTCCTCCTTCTGCTCTATCTAGTTTTCTCTCTGTACTGTTGTATTAAATTCATTTATACATTTGTGGTCACTTGTGTTTCATCAGACACTGTATGGGTGTGGCCCCTCATCATGAAGGACTTGATAGTCAGTGAGGAGACCTGTAAATCATTAGTTTATGTCTGTCTATGCACGAGGTGTCCTGGAGGAGTGCAGGAAGGGGCTCTCTGTTTGGAAAAGGGCACGAGGTCCTCCCGGAAGACATAATGCTTATGTGGGTCTGCAGGGTATGTAAGAGTGTGCAAGGCAGGGGCTGCAGTGGGGAGAGGATGAAATGGGCAGTCCAGGCAGAGACACCGAGGTGTCTGGGTGACTAGCAGTGGGTCCAGATGATAAAATGAATGGTAGGAGGAGGTGCGGTCATGAGAGACCTGGAGTTGAAGTTGGGAGTTCACGTCCTCCCCCTTCAGCTGGAGAGAGCCACAGGAGGGTTGATGCCTTACCTTAGAAGAGTTGTGTGCTTCAATCAGGGTTCTAGGAAGATGTTTGTGGAGTCCCAGGAAGAGGATTGGTGTTAACCACTTTGAGGTTCTTGCCTCCTAACAAAGTAAAAACCTATAGTGGCAGTGGAGGGAGCAGGCTTGAAAAGTATCTGGGGAGTCGTGGGATTGCAGGCGACTGTGGGCAGTGATCTGAGTGTTACTGCCCCTCCTCCTGCTGGGTGAGGGAGGGCTGTATCAGACTTAGAGCCCTCTCCTCCAGCTTACGGACCCTTGTGGGTAGAGGGGCCCAGGGGGCAAAAGAGGTTGCTGAATTGAGGATGTTTTTGTCCTTCATCTTTGCATTCTCCTTGCTTAGCCTGAAGAAATTATGTTGAAAAGTAAGAGTTTCAGGCTTTAGAAAATCAATAGCTCTTTGTTTTCCATATTACTGTCAACTATGAAAACGGTTTATATGGTTTACAAGGTTTTTAAAATGCATTCTTAGTCCTTGTAATAGTCAGATAATAGCTTTTTTTTTTTTTTTCCATTTTGAAGATGAGGAAACTGAGACTTAGAGGGGCTCGCTGAGGCACAGAGCTAGCAAGTGGCAGGGAATCGGTGTCTTCTGAATCCTGGTCCCATGCTCTGTTTCATGTTGTGCTCCTACAATCATTCTGGGCTTCAGTGCTGAGTGCACCCTGTTCTTTGGGCAGGGACGCATCCTACCTTTCAGCCCATGGAGATGTCGTTCTATGGCAGGGCCATGTGCTGAAGGCAAGCCGGTTTGGGGTTGATTGCACTGAGCTTAGGACACCAGCTCTGCTCTGGAAATATGACCCATATTGGGCAAGTCACTGGACCTGCCTGGGGATGTATGTAAAATTGGTGGCGTCATTCCTTCACGGAATCAGATAGATGCTTGATCCATGATAGCACTCCCCAGGCTGTCTGTCCCTCTTGCTCTGCTGTCCATCTCTCCCTCTGGCTCCAGAGTGCATGTGGGTGTGGTGTTAGGTGGAGACTGTGCCCACTTTCCCTGCTCGATCCGGGGAAGCAGCCTGTGGGTTGCTATGTTTCAAGGATTAGTTTTGCTAAATGTAGATTGCCTGGATGAGCTGGTATTTATCGTCGTAACCAAAGTGTGTTCTTCCTGTGAAAAACTGTCTGAGGTGTTTTGTTCCAGGACACAGGTTGAACATCACAGCAGAGAATGACTGCCGGCGATTGCACTGTTCCCTGAGAGACTTGAGCTCCCTGCTGCAGGCTGTGGGCCGGTTGGCTGAGTACTTTATCGGAGACGTGTTTGCTGCGCGGTTCAGCGATGCACTCACAGTCGTGGAGAGGTAGGCTGGCACTTACAGCGTGGAGCCATTCCCTCTTCAGAGCTCAGTTGTACCTGGTGTCAGGGGCAGCATATGGCCAGCTAGCTTCTGCGCTGGCGCTAGGTAAACCAAGGCTCTGCACATATATGGTGAATGTGGAGCGCTTACTTGACCTCTCTGAACTTCAAATTCCTCATCTGTAAAATGAAGTAGACAGTATTTTTAGGTTTATCGGGAAAATTGAACGAGATAAGGCACTTAGCACCAGGCCTAGCATGTAGCAGACAACGAAAATAGTTTTTCATTTCATTGAGGATCTTGTAATAGATATAAAGACAGGCTTTGCCTCAGAAGAAACCAGGTGAGGTAATCTTCATGTCTTTCCTCATAGGATAAAGAGGCATTAGAACGCCCTAGTAATTAACAAAAGGCAGGCCGGAGACACTGTCCAAGTAGGCTGCCAGCTCTCAGAAGTGGAATTTCCCTCAGTCGTGTTACAGTAGGACTGTTTTTTCTAGTCCTGTTAGGGTCCTAAGGAGTTAAACCGGGGCAGCCTCCAAGCCTGACCTGAGAGGTGGGTCCCAACCTTTTCGCCACCACGCTCCTTTCTCTACTTCTCTTTAGGTCCTCATCTGTGTTTGTTGAGAACCATTTTATATTACCTGGTCCTCCCCTTCTCCCCACTGACAAACTCCTACACTTAAAAAGTCCTACCCTTAAAATGTATGTGGAGAAGGGGACAGGACCCTTCTCCAGGGAACCAGGGAACGGGAACAGGTGGTTCCCGTTTTTTCACGGTCACTGGTGAGTGGATTAGATCAAAGCTGGGTAGGGGTGGGTCCAGCCCAAAGTCAAGACACCTGAGGCTTTACTGGCCTGGTAGCCACATCATCAGAAACGCCCTGAGCGGGAGATCGAGCCCCACGCCACATTACTTGCATACCAGATTTTATTTAACTGTTACTCTCACCTTAAAAGCGGAGATAACTAAGAATTTCAAATAAATCTTTAAAAGCTGGATTAATGGTAATAATAAAAGCAGCATACAGTAGGAAATTTTCAGAAGTGGTTTTTCACATTTTATTTCTTTCTGTACTTTGAGGGACATATGTTGTCACTTTATCTGTGAGTGAAGTGTGACACAGAGAGGGTGGGTGACTTGCTTCAGGTCGTGCAGTTCATGAGAGGGAGGAGCACATGGACTTGAACCAGTTTCCTGAGTACAAAAACCGTACTCTTTCTACACCACAGAGCTGCTACTTCCAGAATCCTCTTTCCTCTTCTTGCATCAGGCCCATTTCCAGCGATGGTTAGCATGGATAGAACATGTCTTACTGTCTGAAATCCGTGTTTTTAAAATTTATACTTGAGCAATAATACACACACACACACACACACACACACACCAGTCATCTCAACTTCGTAGTGAGATGATTAGTCATAGATCCTGAATGGTATTTTAGTGGTCCTCACATACATCTTTCTGCACTGATTAGGTTTGTAGGCTCAGTACTAAAGATACTCAAGCTATTTTTTCTTTCATTTAAAATGAAGTGTGAGAGGAGACTCTTTGTTATGCCCTCATGATCTTAATAGCCAGTGTGATTATTAGCAGTGTTTCAACTTGTAGCTTACAGAAAACAAACCTAATAATAAAACTGCTAAACATAGAAATATTAAGACACATTTAGAAGTCCATTTTCAGTGATGAACATCATTAACGTTGTATGATGTAAAAACAGAATGTAAAGTCAAATATACATGATTCCACCTGTATGAGGCATTTAGAGCAGTAAAGCCCCTAGAGACGGAAAAAGAACGATGGTAGCCCGGGGCTGGGGGCAGGGAGTGTGGAGAGTGAATATTTAGTGGGTAGAGTTTCAGTTTGGGAAGACGAAAAAAGTTCTGGAGATGGACCCTCGTGATGACTGTGCAGTGTAAATGTGTAGAATGGCCGCGAACTGCACCTGCTGTGTGAGTGTAAAGAAGGAAGGACAGAATTAGGTACCAGGTTTGCATTGGTGTGTTGCTTACTGACAGTAACTGCTGTGATTCCCAGTGATCCCCGCCTCTGCCCCCTTCCTGGAACTGCAGTTGGCAACCATTGGCTCTTTTACCCTTATTTTCTTGACTAACTGGAAATGCCCTTTTCTGTCTGCTCCCCAGCCCTAAATAATTTGTGACTCAAACTTAGGGTTTTCTAATAAAGTCTAATAAAGTTTTTTCTTCACATCAGAGAGGAACATTTTTCAGAGTATGATCCACATGCATTAGAGCCTCAGGTGCTTTTCAGAGAACTGCATAGTTGGTCCGTGGTGTAGCACCAGGGAGTGTGCATCTGTAATAGGTTCCCCGGGGGGTTCTTAAGCTCAGTGAAGTTTGAGACCCTCGGCACCACTGTGTAGGGGGAGAAAAGCACATGCTGTCTTCCCCAGAATCCGTCTCAGTTTTCTTACAGAGGAGGCACAGAGGGAACTTAGGTGGGTCTCCAGTTTTCCCCCTTGACTCATAAAGGAGTGTCCGTCTCCAGTGAAAGAGGCATTCTCCATTTCCCAGTAGAGCTTGCTGTTGCTCACTGTGTTTAATGCTTGTTTGTGTACAGTGAGACCTTGGGGAACAGTGGGTTCAGTGGTTTGCTCCTGAAATAATTGTGCTTGAAATTAAAGATACCTCAATTTAATTCTAGATATTTTTGCCCCTTCCACCTCAGTGTTTTATCATGAACATTTTCAGAGAAGTTGAAAAATTATACAGGTAATACATATAAAGCTATTATTCTACAGTGCTGTATTTTCTTTGAAATATATACTTTTTTCTCCCTAATTTTATTGAAGAACATGTAACAAAAATTTTCATTGTAATAATTTTTATTGTTTATAGCATATTATAGTATATTCTCTATGTTGGATATTTGTATTTTCAAAACTTTTTGTTACTGTATGTAATGGTTTAATTAGTATCGTTGTATATAAATCTTTATGCACGTGTCAGATCATGTCTTTGGGATAAGACTGAAGGTTTGGTCTCTGTTCTTGGGACCTTTGTTGGTACCTTGTCTATTTTGTCTTACTTTAGTCCATAACTGAATGCTTTTTCTTACCTGCTTCTTTGCCAACAGGTTAGTCAAGGTCACTCTGTATGGATCTCAGATAAAATTGTACAACATTGAAACTGCTGTGCCATCAGTGTTGAAACCTGATCTCATTGATGTGTAAGTATAGAGTTACATGTTTGTGTGTTCTCAAGAAGGACCTGTCCTCCAACTCCAAATAACTTTATAGATAAAAAGGCACAGTAGTGGCTGCCACGAAGAGTAAAACTCCCACCACCAAATGTAGAAAAAGAGGAAGATTGTTTGACTGTATACACAGGGGCAGGGTGGCTGGAGTGGGTGGAACTCACCAGGCCGACAGGAGCTGAGAGGGTGTGTGGGTAGGTATTTCAGGAGAAAAGAACAGCAGGGAGCCAAGACAGAGTTGCAGAATCGCTCAGTGGGTAAGGTGGTGTGCAGTTCGCATGGAGGAAGGTGGGGTCGATAGGTGTGCTGGGACTTAAGGGGAAACACTTTGAGTGCCGTGAATCTTATCCTGTGGAACAGAGGCTGAAACTCTAGTGTATAGAAGAACTCCATGGGGAACACATGCCCTCAGCGGTTCTGATGAGAGAGGATGGTGTGAGGCTCTGGTATTGCATGTTAAACAGGAGCCTCAGGTGATTTTTGAAGCAGGACATCCAGCGATCACACGTAGAGAAACTTTTTAGACAGTGGGAAGCCATTAGGAAAGTGACACATAGAAGTGATAGAGCAGCGATTTTCAGCCTTTTCAATCGCATGGCGCACATAAACTAATTACTAAAATTTTGCTGATCACACTCGGCAGCTGCTGTTATGTTGGTTGTCATTTTTTTAGTTTGACAGTCTAGGGAAGAGAGATCAGTGCCTCTGACTAAATAGTCAGGTACTGCATATTTTAAAGATTCTTACAGCACACCAGTTGAAAAGCACTGGGATAGAGGAATGGGGACCAGAGATGAGACCATAACCTAGAGATCACCCTGCCTAGGAGGCACACTCTAGACTAGAGCAGGGGCTGGCAAATGATGTCCTGTGCTAAATCTGGCCCACTGCCAGCTTTTGTAAATAAAGTTTCATTGGAACATAGCCATGCCCATTCATTTACTTTTTGTCTGTGGCTGTTTTAGCACTACAGTGGCAGAGCTAAATAGTTGTGACAGGGTATATTACCTGCAAAGCCTAAAATATTTATATTGGTTTTTACGGAAAACAGTTGCTGGCCCCTGTTCTAGAACAATCTTGAGCTATAAATTAGATAAATGATAAAGACTTTTTCCGACTACGATAGTTTACATTTTAAAAATATTGCTTCCCTTTTTGAGAATTCAAAGAAAGCTGTGAAGCTTCTCCTGAGAAAAATGCTAATTTGCTCATAAACACAATACCTTACCTACAATTTCAGGAAGTTGTAGAGCCCCTCCCTTTAGCCTTGAAGAGCTCTATAAATTTGATAGATGAACTGAGATTCTTAGACTCTAAAGGCAGACTTTGATGTCCTTCCTCCTTTTGGTACTCAGAACTTAAAGGGATCAATGGATTCCAAATAGAAAATACAAAATAACTTCCTGGTCACTATGAATTTTAGACTCTCAGTACCTGTATTTGTTTACTTTAAATACCTTTTCTTAGCTAACCTCTTACTTTGAAAAAGTTCAAAGCTGTAGCAAAGGGGGAAAATATAATGAATACTCTTATACGCATAAGCTAGGCCCATCCGTCATAAATGTTTGTCACATTTGCTCTTGTGCTTTCTCTTTGTGTATACACATACATTTTTTTTATGTGATCTATTTGAAAATAAGTTACAGACATTATGTCACTTCATCAGTAAGCCCTTTAGCGTGTGTCTCCTAGCAACAAGGTCAGTCACTCTTTCACGGAACCGTAATACCATTGTCAGCGCTCCAGCCGGTCGTGGGTGCAGCAGTGTCATCCAGTATTGGATTGGCCAAAAAGCCCATTTATTTTTTTCCATAAAGTAAAGACACGTTTTCATTTTTACCAATAACTTTATTGATTTAGCTATTTTGAGTATGTCAACTATCCCCACATGGTATAATGTTGATTGTTCTCAGTTAGTGTCTTGATTTGATCATTGCCAACTTCGACTGGTCTACCTGACCGTGGAGCATCGTCCAGTGAGAAATCTCCAGCACAGAACTGCACAAAACACTGTCGACATGTTCAGTCGGTCACAGCGCCTTCTCCATACACAGCACAGATCTTTTTTGTATGTTTCAGTTGTGTTTTTACCTTTCTTGAAATAAAAAAGCATAATATGCCAAAAATGTTGCCTATTTTCTTCCATCTTCAATCTTAAAATGGCTACACGAAAATTTACCAACTTTGATAAGTTTTTTTTTAATGCATGCTAATATGACAGCTGGCACAATACAGTCTAACAAAATTGTTTTGAATGAAGTTAACCACTACTAGGACCATTTTATGGACAAAAACAAATAAACTTTTTGGCCAACCCAATATTTTTGAGAGAGAAGGGCTACACACACACACACACACACGCGCGCATGTATATCCCATATTCATATTCTTCCAGTTGTCCCAGGAATGTCCTTTATATCTTCTTTTAATTCAAAACCTAATTATGAATCACAAATTAAGTTTTCCCTTATAATCCAGAGCAGTTCTGCCAGTTGTGCATGTTGCAGGGAGGAGGAATGGAAATAGGGAAGGAAGGACGGACAGAGAGAGACTGACTGTTTGGAGATTCAGCTCTTAAATTTTTTTTAAAGCAAATCTTAAAAATCTGGATTTGTATGGTTATTTCTTTCTATTGTAGTATTAGATCGAGGTTAAACTTTTTTATCAAGAACACTGCGCAGGTGGTGGTTTGTCCTTCCTCTCGCATCATGTCTGGAGGCGTTGAGGTCAGTTTGCCCTCTGCTTACTGATGCTGAGTTTGATTTTAAAGTGGTGTCTGCCTCTGTTCTAGTGCCGTTCACTGAAGGGCTCTAGGAGTGATGACCTCTAGTAGCAGGGCTACCCCTAGTACCCAGGCCCTTGGTTCCTAAAGCACAGTCTCTGCTAAAAGGAACCAGAGTTCCTTGGAGAAATACTCCAGGTTTGGAGCAGGGCGATCCTGGAAAACCTCACTGAGTCGGTGAGGAGGGAAGTGCTCCGTGACTGTTAGACACACGGGGAAAGGACGTCGGGGTGAGCTTAACAGGGCTTGTCGCAGCCAGACTCCATGATTTGATCATCAAGAAAGAATAAGGAGGATAATGGATTATAACATTGAATGTAAAAATTTGTGTATCTGTAGTGGTTTAAACAAAGAAGGGGGAGGGAAAGCTCTTTTTATTGAAGAGTGCCAGCTAATGAACAGAAAAGGAAACATAGAAGTCTCCTGTTCACAATCACCAGGGATATAATGACTTAGGCAGGAGTTCTCAGTGGGTGACAAAACCATGGGTCTTGGTTGGGGAGCAGTATATTTCCATCATGTCATAGTGTCACCTCACAGAGGACTTATCATAGGAAAGGGAGAAAGTACATTTAGGGTTATTAGGAAGGTATGGCATTTGTGTGCTCTGAGACAGCTGCCTCACTTGGTTTAGATGTGTTACCTTTGATGAATCCTGAGCTTTTATGATATATATTTCGTTGCCTGTATAATGCAGTACAAAATTGGTAGAAACCAAATAGTCTTTGTCACCTCCACAGTTGCCCTTTAGCCAGGTATAATGTATGGTGTGACAGAAGCTTAAACTGGAGAATCTTACATCAAAGCGTGTTTATAAAGCTGTAACACCTGGTAGTTGTCTCCTCCTTGGTCTGCAGCTATGGATGTTAACATTTTTACTAGTTGTATCTTCGGTTTTTTGGTTCTGTTTTTTCATTGATCATCCTCTCAGGGATGCTTACGTCTGTCACAGAAAGATTGAATAAGAGCTGATAGACATTTCACTAACTCCCTTTTGTGTTCTGGGCAGTGGTGGCAATATGTCATTGGCGAGTTTCAATTCTAAGGTCTAACATGAGCAAGTAAATGGTTCCTATGCTGTTGGATGGATCCTGGAACAGTAATACAGTGGATGGAATTTTTACCTCTTATGGAAACACATTTGATTCTAATATACTTTGACCTTAACCTTTAAAATCGCATCTTCTCTCCTTTTTGCAGGCATGCTCAGTCCCTGGCCGCTCTGCAGGCTTACTCGCACTGGTTAGCACAGTATTGCAGTGAAGCGCATCGGCAGAACACGCAGCAGTTTTTCACGCTCATCTCCACTACCATGGATGCAGTCACACCTCTAATCAGCACCAAGGTCTTGAAACAGCAGAGGCTACACCTTTTATCTAACTGTGTCTGTCCTTCTGTCCATATACCCATTTATTATCAAATCAGAATATTCCATAGCATTAGATCCACTACCACCGTAATACAGCTACATCCCATTTCCAGTTCTTTTTAGTTGTAGTCCACACAAATGCAAATATAACTTTATATTTTTAGTTCTCTAAGTTCTACATGATACATGCTTATTGTGAAAAAGTAAAATAGGGTTCAGTTTTATAGACTGAAAAGTATTTGTACTCTTTAATCCCTTCCTCCAAAACATTTTCCTTTTCCACAGCAAGCACTGTCAGCACTTGGTTGTCTGTCCTTTGGACGCAGCTCTCCTGTTACGTACATGAGTAGGAGTGTGTAGATAGCTGGAGGTACCGCTCCTTTTGCTTAACGATAAGCTCTCGAAACCTTTACAAGTGCAGAGCAACTTCAGCTTTTCAGACTGCCCAATGTTACTTTGTAGGGGGATATATTGTGATTTTCCTATTGATGGAAATTAGATCCTTGCAGGATGGATTGCTGGAAGTGGAATTGCTGGGTTGAAGGTCATATCCACATAAACTTTGATGGTTTCCTCCCAGAAGACCAGTGTGTATTAATAGAGCATATAAATGCTTGTTTTTCTTTTTTACGGTTTTAATTATACATAGTATTCTGTAGCACTATTGACAGGATAGTGTCTTATTTTCCATAAATCTATGTTGCATTTAAAATTGTAATTTATAAATAATATCCTATGGAGAGGGGATTGTGTTTCATAATACACATAGCCATTGCTGGACCTTTCGTAACTGCCCTTCAAAATAAGTCCTTACAAATACTTCTGAAAAGCATGTATTTACGAATGTAACTTTATCCTTTTAGGTAATTTCCTTAGAATAAGTGGCATTATAGAGTCAAAGTGCAGGGATATTTTGTGTTTCTAGGAAATTATAGTAATATTTCTTTCCTAAACAACTCTTGTGTGTGTGCTGTTTTCATCATAATCTTACCAGCATTAGGTCTTCTCTGTAAAAAGTTCCCTCTTTTGCCTGTTTGAAAAGGACGTAATGATACTTGAATCCAGTTTTTGAGTAGCATGTCGAGGCGAAGAAAGTAGGAGAGCCTGGCGCGGTAAAAGGAGTGCAAAGGTGGGGGCTGAGAGAGAGAGGGATCTTAGCTTGGTTGGAGCAAGAGGGGTGAGATGCATGGTCCCCTGTTGTTCAGATGACAGGCGAAGGAGTTTGCCATAAAGTCTATGAACTGATAGGGAGCCAATGTAGATTCTTGAGCTGAAAAGTGAGTTCAGAGATATTGGTGACTATGAACAGAAACTGGAGGTGGCGATCCTGGCTGGATGGCAGGAGCTGTGGACATGATGAAGGAGATGCTTGCTGAGGGGCGTCATCATAGGGAAACTTTGAGATAGCGCCTGCGTGGTATTCTTTGGCAGCCAAGAACCATATTCAGCTTGTGGCTGCCTCCTCAGAGTTCTTCTGATACCGGGGGCTGCAGTGAGCTGACTTGTCTGTGTTCTTCCCTCGTCAGGTCCAAGATAAGCTGCTGCTATCTGCCTGCCACCTACTGGTTTCTCTGGCCACCACTGTGAGGCCTGTCTTTCTGATCAGCATCCCTGCAGTGCAGAAAATATTCAACAGAATCACCGATGCCTCTGCCCAGCGACTTGTTGATAAGGTGAGGCCCCGGTGTTACCCTGGAATCACCAGAGTGGTGTGGCTCAGCCTCAGGGGAGAAGAGCCTGGCTCTGGTTTTTCCCCGCAGAGCTTGCAGGCCTGGCCAGCACAGAAGGCTTTCTTACACGTGCAGCACTGACGCAGCCTCGGTGCTCTCTTGTAAACGTCCTTCCCAGCGTGGCCAGTCAGCGTGTGTATCCAGACATAAACAGTTCCTCCTCAGACAAAATACCCAGAGAGAGCTTGTGCTGCTTTTATTTTAATTGAATGTATTCTGTTTATTGAGGTGAAGCTTGTGCTGCTTTGAGAGCTGGTGATTTGGCTGGTGTGAGAGTCTTTGCATTCTTTTGGTTTAAAAGTCTTTTTATTGTTATCTGTTTGTTTTCTTGGGGTTGAGATGGTTTCAGATAAGTATATTCTCTTAAATTCCTCGTAGGAAGGTCAGGTTAGAAGTTTAGAAATAAAACAGGGCTGGAGTTAGAGAGGTAGTCAAAGCAATTTCTTAAGAGCACCTAGATCAGAATGTATTACTTCTGAGCTGGTGCCAAGGGCACATTAATTATGAGGCATTCTCTTAACAGCCCTGTTCTGAGTAGCTCCTCAGAGAGCATAAGAAGCCAGCAGCAGAGAGACTAGTTAGACCCGGTGTCTGCAGCATTTGTGATTTCTCCCTCTGTGATGCTCCAGGTACCAGATTAGAGGGAAAGTGATGGCACCAGCAGTAATTATTGAGGCTGGCTCTGGGTTGTGCTAGACGCAGACGTGGTGCTACTGCTTCATTATCTCTTTGTCTCCTGGGCTGCCTTCGAGGTGGACCAAAGCCAGGTTATAATATATAAGAAAGGAGCCTGGAGGCCTGAACTCATTGTGTGTGGTGGGTGCTAAAGCCTTTGTGAGGTGTGACTGCTCTGCTGCCTGTTGCTCTTGAATTTTTACGATAGATGCCTTTGGGGTCTCTTCCAGGCTCAGGTGTTGGTGTGCCGAGCACTCTCTAACATTCTGCTGCTGCCATGGCCAAACCTCCCGGAGAATGAGCAGCAGTGGCCTGTGCGCTCCATCAACCACGCTAGCCTCATCTCTGCGCTTTCCCGGGACTATCGCAACCTAAAATCCAGTGTCGTTGCCCCACAGAGGAAGATGCCACTGGATGACAGTAAGTGGCCCTGGGAAGGGACATCTCAGGGAGATAGGTAGGGCCGGCATTGTTCTTCCTTTGTGGCGGATGAGATTTGCACCTGAGGCTCACGTTGGTGAATTAATATGTCCATAGTCACACAGCTGCTAAGGGGAAGAGTCAGATTGGGGCCGAGGGGGAGACCCCACTTACCTGTGGAATTCAGTGAGTACATCAGCTAGACCTATTTTCTGAATGCAGGATGCCCCATGTCTAATTGAGAATGTAAAAAAAAAAATGTTTATTGAAGGCACTGTTGATGGTGCTTTCTATGGATTAAAAAATCCCTGCAGTGATTATTGATCTGTTTCTGATATTTACATAAGCAGGCAAGGAAGTTCACCTATACACACTGAGAAAAAAAATTAAAAATTATCTTTTGAAACTGTTTTTAAGCTTTCTCCAAATAACAGATATTTCAGAGGCTTTTGAAAGAGCTTGAAATCTTCACATATGGCACTTTAAGTTTGATTGTTTATATTAAAGAAGAGAAAAAAATGAATCAAAGAAAATTCAGTAGTTCAAGAAGAAGGTATCAGATTTCTCTGAAAAATCTTCCTGAAATAATATTATAGGTATATTTTTTAAATACACTCAATTGCCCTGGCTAGTATGGCTAAGTTGGTTCGCCATCCCACAGATCAAGACGGTGTGGGTTCGATTCCGGTCAGGGCACACGATTAGGGTGCGGGTTCAGTCTCTGGGCTGGAAGTGTGCAAAAGGCAGCCAGTCGATGTTTCTCTCTCACATCGATATCTTATCCTTCTTTCTCTCCTTTCCTTCCTTCTCTCCAAAAAAAATTCAGTCTGTTTTCACAATAAGAAAACAATGGGACATTACTGGCTGGTATTATTTCTAGAATGTCAACAAAAATGCTTTTGAGATGTTAGAAATGCTAATAAATACTCAACATTTAAAAAACATTGCTTTTATAATTAGAAACATTAACATATGCTCATTATACAAAAATACTAGAATAGTATAAAGAAGAAAAGAGAAACTTAAATCTCACCAACTTTAGTATTTTACGAAGTAACCGTTTTAACTTTCTTTTTCTATTCTTAAATATATTTTATAGCTCTATAGTTGAGTAAGAGTGGCTGGCTTACTGAGGGCACACCATGTGAGGGCAAGCACTGGTGATCTTCTGTCATCCAGTCCCTGGGGACACCTGCATCCACCGCCAGGGCCTGGTATCTGATCCTGAGTGTTTTGCATTCAGTAATCGGTTTGGTTCTCATATCAGCCTATCAGTTAGGTACTGTAAATTATCTTGATTTTATCCATGAGGAAACTAAGGTATGGGAAGGTTAAGTAACTTGCCCAGGGGTGACATACAGTTATTATATAACCATGTTTTATAAAGTTTAATGGTCTTCTTTACTCACTTTACATGTACTGTATTAGTCAGCATAAGCTAGGTTATGCTATGTGTGACAAATAATCCCAAAAGCCTAGTGGCTTAGTGCAGGAAAACATTTATTTCTTATTAGTACCACATGTCTAGCTTGGGTCAGTGTTTGGGTAGATCCTGCTCATTCTAGCCACTCAAGGACCCAGGCTTATGAAGGGTCCTTTTCAGTCTGTGCTTACACTGGGAAAGTCTCTTGCCTAGAAGTAACCATTTCCACACATATTTTGTTAGCCAGAGCATGTGGTTACATGGCTATGGTGTAACTTCAGCAGGGATGGAAGGTATGATGTCACCATGTTCTGGAAAGATTTGCTGAATAACATTAATGATTTCCACAGTGAATGTAATTAAAAACATCGTTACATCGTTAACTGCCCTGGTTGGTGTGGCTTAGTGGATTGAGTGCTGGCCTGTGAACCAGAAGGTTGCAGGTTCGATTCTCAGTCGGGGTGAAGCTGGAAAAGACACCAGAGCTCATGCTGCCTGTCACTTGTCAAACCCAGTAAGCAGACACACAGATTGAGTCTTTATGGGCGCTTTATTCAGATGGCCGGTGATCTGAGAAGGTGGCAGGTTTGCACCCTAACAGACTGTCTTACATTTTCTTTCTAGGCCAACTTTTTTATAACAGGGAATAAATAAGATGTGGTGAGGGGTTTTGATATTCAGGGAGAATCAGGTGAAAAAAACTGCAGCGTTCTTGTCCTGGGCAGTTAGCTGTTCCCAGGGATGAGTGGGTGATTGTCTGTCTCTCCCGGGAATACAGTGGCCTGGATGCCTTCACTTGTCTCCAGGCGGTGGTCTTGAGCAGTGCATCAGGAGGTCGGTTGTTTCTCCCAGGACAAACCTTATCTTTAGGATCTGAAACAAAAGCTTTAACCTATGCATTACTTGCTAGGCTTATAACTACCTTAAACTAAAAATTTCCAACTCTTGAGTCCCCTAGCAAGGGGCACATGCCTGGGGTGTGGATGAGGTCCCCAGTGTGGGGGGTGCAAGAGACAACCACACATTGATGTTTCTTTTCCTCTCTTTTTCCCTCCCTTTCCCTCTATCTAAATGTAAATAAATAAAATCTTTTAAAAATAAAGTAAAACACTTAAAAAACATAGTTAACATTTGTTGACTGTTTACTGTGTGCCTGGCACTGGGCTGAGAATTTTATGTACATTATTTCATTTAGTCTTCCCTAAGTTCTGTGAGATATGTCTTAGTATCCTCATTCTTGAAGTGATACGATGAAGGCCTGGAAAGTTTTTCCTAGCCCAACTTTATACTTGGAAAATGTTTTCAAACCTACAGAATAGTTGAAAGAATAAGAAAATGAGCAACTGTATATCTTTCACCAGGATTCACCAGTTGTTAATATTTTGCCACATTTGTGTTCTTTCCCACTCACAGATACTTTTCAGCTGAGCGTTTAAAGTTGCAGTTTATTCCTGAATATTTAACTTTTATCTTTAAGGACAAGATATTCTTTTGTATAACCAAGGCACCATTAACATAAACAAGCTGTGGAACATTGTTATGATAATGTCATTTAACATACTGGCCATGTCTAGATTTTCCCTAGTCATTACCAAAATGTCCTGTTTTGCTTTATAAAAATCCAGAATACAGTCAAGGATCACGTGTTACATTTGGTTGCCACATCTCTTTGATCTCTTATAGTACAGAAAAGCATTCCTCTTTTTTTCTTCTTCACGACATGGATGTTTTTGAAGAGTCCAGACCCAGACCCCTTTTTCATGGTGGAATGTCCTGTAATCTTGTTCTGATTGCTTCCAGCAATTAATTTAGGGCAGGGATACAATCTTGGTAGTGATATGTACTTCCTATTGAATTGCTTCAGGCCATCTGTCTATTGTAAAGGTATACCCACCCCCAAAGAGAGAGCGTTGGGGGAAGAAGTCAGTGGGCTGAATGGCTCCAGATCCTTGCTTTTTTGCCACATTGCCCCTTTTTTCTTTAAAGTGTTGTTTTTAATTGTTCTATAATATCCTAGCCTATGGAAGTACCACAATACACATACCTATTCTATTTCTACATATTTAATGATACTTTCAGTGTTTTACTTGTACATATGTTTGAATAAATCTTGGTCTTGTTTTAATTTCTGTACACATCAGAGGTCACATTTTGGTTTCTCAGCTCTTGGCCTTTCCTGCTAAATGGCTTCCCTGTGCCCTGTGTATTCTTGGGGAAATGCCTGGCCCAGTGCAGTTACCTGGCTCTGTAAAAGTGTCTGTGTTTATAGTAGTTACGAGTGAGTGGCTCCTTGATCAGCAGTATGGGTGTGCCCTTCGTTCACTTTCCCACAGCCCCGTGACCGGCCTTTAGTGGATGAGGCCTGTTGTGGGCCATTATCTTCTTTCACGCTCAGTCCTAGGAGGGAGGTGGTGGTATCTATCTGCATCTTCAGGTGAGAAAACCAAGACTCAGTGTATAGCAAGTCAGGAGTCAAACCTGATTCCATCCACTTCCAAAGCATGGGCTCTCTCTTCTGCTGTATACTCCCTGGAAGCCTCCTCAGGCCCCAGAGACTGGTGGGCTTGGGGGTTAGGGCGATCCAGAGAGCACGGCCAGGTGGCGGTCCGCTGTGGTAGCTCAGCTCTTGAAGCTCTGCCAGGCTGAGGCTGCCAAGCTCCGGCTGGGCTGTGTAGGCTTCTTTGGGAAGCAGTGTCTAAGGGGAAGAGACCCCACCAGACCTGGGGGAGGATGATGCCTTTTCTTCTCTCCTGGACCTCCTGATATACGAGACACTTTGTTAGAATTACTCTGAACCTTGTCTCTGATCTTAGCGGCAACCTGCAAAGGCGGGGCTATTGGCTGCCCGCAGTGTACTGACGAGGACCCTGCCACCTGCTGTTCACATTCAGGCTCCTCTGATCCGGGCCCTTGCTGTTTCTTCTGAGCTCCTGCCTGTTTTCTAGCCACCGCCTCTCTTTTCCCTGTGTGCTGTGTGGGGTCATCCAGTGAGCTCATACATTAGGGTATTGTTGGGAGCATATGGGACCTGTCCAGAAAGTATCCAGCCACGTAACATGAAAAATAGAGACATTTATTGAAGAAGATACAAGAAACACTGTACACAGGACAATGACACCTCAGTTCCCTTCAAAGTAGGCACCTTGGGACCTCACACAGTTCTCCCATTTGCCATCAGCTGCCCCTCTGTATTTTTCTGAATCTCATTGACAGTCTGAAATCTCTTTGCTTTCAAAGGTGATTTTAGTCTTGGGAAAAGCCAGAAGTTACAGGGTGCCAAATTTGGGCTGTAGGGGGCCTAAGTCACCTGGGTGATTTGACGTTTCACCAAAAAACCTACAGAAGATGTGATGCATGAGCAAGCATGTTGTTGTGATGAAGCTGCCAATCACCAGTTGCCCACAGCTGTGGCCTTCTGAATCATCCAAATAGTTTTCACAGAGAAATGTTCAAGCTTAACACAAAATTTGATGCCATTTTGTTGCTCTACTCAGTCATTTTGAATGTGATGGTCACACAGTACACATGCTCACCCAACAGCATCTACCGCCCCCACTGACTAGTACAGTGAAGTTGTCTTGTTCATGCATGTGCAGTCCAGTCCACTCTCCTTGGCTGCCAGGTTACATCAACATTGTGTGAACCATTTTTGTTATATTAACAGTGGTTGGACTTCTTCTGGACAGACTTCGTATATTGTCAACAACATATAATACAGTACGGTATAATAACAATAATTATACATATTGTCACAGGCCCAGTACACCAAGGATTAATTAGGCAGCTAATTCCTGAACACATTATCAGATACTGTCACCCTCAAAAATAAAATAGCCGTTTTTGTTTTTTTTTACCAGCGATATGGGTTTATTCAGAAACAGCAGAGAATTACATGTGGGGAGAAGCAAATGTAGTTGCTTGTTGAAATGCCGATCTCCGTTCACCACATAAAATCCCTTTCTCAAGATTTCTTTTCCATTAACCTTCTGTAACTTTTTATATCCAATTAGGTTATGACCTGTCTTTTTTAATTATTTTGGAACAAACATTTTACTTTAGGACAAAAATTTTTCCCTTTCAAAAAACTATCTCCATTTCTTATGCCTTCTTTATTGAAAATACACATCCTGCCCTGGCTGGCGTAGCTCAGCGGATTTAGTGTGGGCTGCGGACCAAAGCATCGCAGGTTTGATTCCCAGTCAGGGCACATGCCTGGGTTGCAGGCCACGGCCCCCAGCAACCACACATTGATGTTTCTTTCTCTCTCTCTCTTTCTCCCTCCCTTCCCTCTCTAAAAATAAATTAATAAAATCTTTAAAAAGAAAAAAGAAAATACACATCCTACTTTTCATATACAGTCATTTTTTTATCCCTATTACTTTTTAGTAGTTTTGTAAGAAACCTTTTTTTTTCTGACAATTTCAAGGGTTTTTTTAGTTTAAATGTTATTTTCTCAATTTCAGAGAGTGACAAAGCTTACCTAGAAAAGAACTGATGTGAGGCAGTCAGTACAGAGTAATTACAGATTTAGGGCAGATAGGACGATTGCCTGTGCTTACGTTAGGTGAACATAAACTCCTTCTGCGTAACACAGTTAAAGTAAGCCATGTGCTTTGTAGAATTACAGTATGAAATTCATTCATGTCTTTGCAAGACTGGGAATGATTACAACACACAAGGGCAGTAGGAGACCCACATTACTGCTGAAGAGTATTGCTCTTTGTTAAGTAGGCAGAATAAAGATTTGAAAGGTGGGACAACTTCTGAACTGATGGCAGCATTATAAATATCTGGGAAGCCACCACCAGAATTCCCAGCCTTGCAAATAGTTATAATAAATGGAAAAGTTCTTTTAAGAAATGTGGCTGCAGGGAAACTTGGAAAGAAAAAAGCGGTGATCCATCCCTTCCACCGAGAATGTACTTTCTTCTAGGGAACCGCAGTTGTGTGGATGTGTTTAGACTTTTTACTCTGGGATGAGTTACTCCAGCATTTCTACCTGCACGTTCTGAGTCAGTCAGGCACATCAGTCCTTTCAGCACAACCTGCCTTAGGCACTTAACCTTTCATGGCTCAGGTGTACCAAGACAAAAAAAAAATGGCCCAAGTAGAACAGATCAAAGCTCCAGAACAAATACAACTAAGCGACGAAGAGATAGGCAACCTATCAGATGCACAGTTAAAACACTGGTAATCAGGATGCTCACAGAACTGGTTGAATTTGGTCACAAATTAGATGAAAAAATGAAGGCTACACTAAGTGAAATGAAGGAAAATGCACAGGGAACCAACAGTGATGGTAAGGAAACTCAAATCAATGGTGTGTGTGGACCAGAAGGAAGAAAGGAACATCCAACCAGAAAAGAATGAAGAAACAAGAATTCAAAAAAATGAGGAGAGCCTAGGAACCTCCAGGACATCTTATCTTTAAGCATTCCAACATCTGAATCATAGAGGTACCAGAAGGAGAAAAGGAAGAGCAAAAAATGGAAAACTTATTTGAAAAAACAATGGAGGAGAACTTTCCCAGTCTGGCAAAGGACAGACTTCCAGGAAGTCCAGGAAGCTCAGAGAGTCCCAAAGAAGGTGGACTCAAGGAGGAACACACCAAGGCACATCATAATTACATTAGCCAAGATTAAAATGAAGGAGAGAATGTTAGAAGTAGCAAGAAAAAAGGAGAACAGTAACTTACAAAGGAGCTCCCGTAAGACTGTCAGCTGATTTCTCAAAAGAGATCTTGCAGGCAAGAAGGGGCTGGAAAGAGGTATTCTAAGTCACGAAAGGCAAAGACCTACATCCAAGATTGCTCTGTATCCAGCAAAGCTTTCATTTAGAATGGAAGGGCAGATAAGTGTTTCTCAGATAAGGTCAAGTTAAAGGAGTTCATCATCACCAAGCCCTTATTTTATGAAACGTTAAAGGGACTTATCTAAGAAAAAAAAGATAAAAAATATGAACAGTAAAATGACAACAAACTCACAGTTATTAACAGCCACACCTAAAACAAAAACAAACTAAGCAAACAACTAGAACAGAAACAGAACCACAGAAATGGAGATCACATGGAGAGTTATCAGCAGGGGAGTGGGAGGGAGAGAGATGGGGGAAAGGTACAGAGAATAAGTAGCATAGATGGTAGGTAGAAAATAGATAGGGAGAGGTTAAGAATAGTATAGGAAATGCAGAAGCCAAAGAACTTCTAAGTATGACCCATGGACATGAACTAAAGTGGGGGGGATGTGGGTGGGAGGGGCTCTGCAGGGCAGAGGGGAATAAAGGGGGGGAATGGGCCAATTGTAATAGCATAATCAATAAAATATATTATTTTTTTTTAAAAATGTGGCTACAAATCTGAAAGGGCAGGGCAACAAACAACATATACACCTATTGAAGAGTGGCTGTGGCCTGGCCTTGAGTCGGCACCATGTGTGAGCAGGACAGGGGAGCGCTTGTTCTGGGCTCGGCCTTTTCAGCTGGCTGCGCAGGTGCTCGTCTGCTCGAGTCACTGTGGCGTGAGAGCAGAGGCTTGCACACCTGTTAGATCATTTCATAGCATGAAATACAATGTATGTTTATGCCCAGTGTATACATATAAAACCATATCAATGACAGATAAAAGTGTCATAAACAAGCCCTGGCTGGCGTAGCTCAGTGGATTGAGCACAGGCTGCAAACCAAAGTGTCGCAGGTTCGATTCTCAGCCAGGGTACATGCCTGGGCTACAGGCCATAACCCCCAGCAACCGCACATTGATGTTTCTCGCTCCCTCCCTCTCTCTCTCTGTCTCCCTCCCTTCCCTCTCTAAAAATAAATAAATAAAATCTTTAAAAAGAAAGTGTCATAAACAGACATGTTTTTCCTGTTTTCAGTATGTGCCATGCATGCACTCCATTTCTGTCTTGATAAAAATGGAAAGGATGAAACCTTTACATAGGTCCCAGATAAAGTCAGAGAGCTGAACTAAAGGGAGTGAGCTTGGCACCTGACAGATTTACCTAACTGGAAGGGAAGAGATCACTCACGGAAGTGAGGAGCACTAAAGGCTCAAGTAGGTACCTCACAGGGTCCCAGGGCTTTGTCTCCTTTGGATCCCAATTCTGACACCAAATAATGTCACCTCAAAAATAAAATAGGTTATTTTACCAGGAAAATGGGTTTATTCAGGAATAGCAGAGAGTTGCGATTTGGGACAAGCAAAATGCACTCAAGTCTGGAGAGACAAAGGACCACTTTATTAGGTTTTCAGAGGAAACTGGGGAGGACTGCTTTGAACTGGAGTTCGCTGCAGGAGAGCAAGAGGTCCAGGCTGTGGCAGTTTCTCATTTGCTGCAAGTGGTGGTTAGTGCATTGTTGCTGGGGCAGCAGGGGATCTTCCTTCTTTTTTTAAAAAACAGGAAATTCCTGTGTGAAAAGTAACCTCCCTTGTCAACTCTTAACTTCTTTCTGCCAGTTATGCAGGCTGCAACTAGTGGTATGTGTATGAAAGTTTCCCCTTCAGGGCTTCCCAGCACCGTTCTGATGTGAAGTTCTTACTTATTTTCCTCGTGTGTGTGGCAGGCGCTGTGCGGAGTTCCAGGCTAGAGTCACATTTGGAGTCGAAGGAGACCGTTTGATCTGCATGTGTGCATTCTGGCCTGCAGTAATTATCTGTGACACTTATTTTCTCACCAGTCGTTCATCATTTTCAAGTCTTGAGACCAAGGCACCTAACCTGAGGATACATTTGATCTCTCTAGACTTGTTTCTGATGGATAGAAGCTGAATAGAGGGGGGAAAACTTAGCAGGCAACTGGAGTTCTGACAGTAAAATGGAAAAATAAAAAGGAAAGGAAGAAAAGGAGAGAGAACTCAATCAAGAGAAACTATTTCTTTAGCAAGATGTCTGTGTTACTGTCCTCTGAATACCTTTGAGGATTTCTTCCCCTTCCTTTGTATTCCCTCTTATTCTTGTTTATCCTCAGACAAGTCTTAACATGCAACCTAATCTTGATTTGCAGCCAAAGTGATTATCCACCGGACACTTAGTGTCTTAGAAGATATTGTGGAGAATATCTCTGGGGAATCCACCAAGTCCCGGCAGATCTGCTACCATTCGCTGCAGGAATCCGTGCAGGTCTCCCTGGCCCTCTTTCCAGCTTTTATTCATCAGTCAGGTAGGAGCTGGCCACAGGCCTCACTGATGAACAGTGCTGACAAGGACAAGAGTCATTTCTTAGTTGTGTAACAGCAGTCCCCAACCTTTTTGGCACCAGGGACAGCTTTTGTGGAAGATGGGGGTGGTGGGGGGCGGGGGAACATGACAGGAGGTGGAGCTTAATGCCAGCTATGGATGGATGAGGCGGAGCTCAGATGAGCGTTGTTTGCTTCCTCTCTGTGGAAGGGGCGTGGAGACCTCACAGGGGCTGTGCTCATGGACGAAGACTGTGGCCTGGGGGTTGGGAACCCTGCTCTGTGGAGCACAGCAGTCAGGACCAGCACAGGCCTCCCACTGAAGGCAAAGGGCAGTGAGGTTCATTTGGAGAGTCCAGGGCTCAGGCCCCATGGAGCCTTCATACAGGCCTCATACCCGTGTCAGGTGGCATTGAGTCACTTGCCTCGTTTTCATTTTTAAGGCTTCGCCTTCTTCCAGTGTTGGACATAAATGGCTGAGAGTAATGGGGGCATTATACAGGAGAAGAAAGAGAGCTTTTTCCCTAAGTGCTTCTTATTTACTTACATGGCAAGATGGGTTTTGACATGGTACCCCTCACCCTGCTGTGTCACTGTCACTGATAGAGGCTCTTGCTAGCTCTGTGGGTATATGTGAGCATTTATACTAGTCTTGTCAGTTTTATGAGATAAATATTGGAGGTTTCTTAGCAAAGTTTCACTGATTGCCTCTTATAAGCAGAGTTTGTGTAATTAGAGCCAAAACACACTGTATAAGACAATTGTTTAGATCTGGAAGTGGGACCACATTAAATGTAACCATTATTCTATGAAATTAATGCATTTAATGGGCCATTGCCGTGCAACCCAAATACACCCTCATTATCCACTTTTAGTGACTTAACCCCTGACCTAATCCAGTCCCAACTGCAGGGATTGTTGGTCATAGACAGAAGTCTCTAAAGCACTCAGGTGTCCACCCAATTGAATAGTTGCATCAGTGTGTGCAAAACAATCCATCTGCAGGGAAAACTCTGAACGTTGCTGAGGCGGGGCCGTGAGGGAGGCTTCATTTCCTACAGTGAGCCATCAAGCAGAGGGGTTCACTGTATTAGAGCTGTTTTCTCAGCATGTCCTTAATCATTTTCTACTTTCCATCGCTGGCTCTGATGGTGTTGGGGAAATTTCTTCCAGCAGGCAGCCTTAGAGATGATAATGCAGATTGCAAGAGGAAGTCTGTCAAGCCAAGGGCTTCCATTTATCCCTGTGTGCATGCCTCTGATCATTTGCTTTGTCCCTTTGTTTAGATGTGACTGATGAGATGCTGAGCTTTTTCCTCACTTTGTTTCGAGGCCTTAGAGTACAGATGGGTGTGCCTTTCACTGAACAGATCATACAGACTTTCCTCAATATGTTTACCAGGTAACCACACACCTGCTGTCCATGGCTTTCAGATTTCAAGTGAGAAGTAGCGGGACCTGGCTACAAAGTGTGGGATATTTTTGCTCCTCTTCTTCACTTGCCACGGTGTTGGTTTTCATCCTGGTCCCAGCGAAATGTTGCCTTGGCTACCATGTGGTTTCTTTTGTCTGCAGAGAACAGTTAGCTGAGAGCATCCTCCATGAAGGCAGCACTGGCTGCCGGGTGGTTGAGAAGTTCCTGAAGATCCTGCAGGTGGTGGTCCAGGAGCCTGGCCAGGTGTTCAAGCCCTTCCTCCCTAGCATCATCTCCCTGTGCATGGAGCAGGTGTACCCCATCATTGCTGAGGTATGAGGGGCTGGAGCTGTCCCTTGTGCCACTTCCTGTCCATTTGGGGAGGGAATGAAATATCCAGAAAAATGCATTGTGTTTTAAAGCTAATTTGTTAGCTATTTTATTTTATTATTATTTTTCGTACAATAGTTTTTTCCAAGAAAGAATGTTTTTAGCTTGGTACACTATTTTTATATTGGCTGAGTTAATTGGAACTAGCGTAGTGTAAACAAGGTTGGTTGGTAAATAAGATCAGCCTCCTATGGCAAACAGTATAAACTTTAGGTGAATATGTAGGTTTTTACGGCAAACATTATAACAGACATACTGCCTGTCAAGAACACTCATGATCTCAAGGATACGAAGCAAGTTCTCCAAATGATTCAAACCTTCCCTTGTTATAGTTCCCCTTTGTTCTTAGAAAACAGACATTCCACATGTCAAGATCCAGAATAAGTACAGCTCTAACTAAATTTTATGTAATAGTTATGCAAATAAGAGCTGATCTTTTTAACTGCCCAAATTAAGGCCTAAGCGAGTCCAGTTGCTTTGCATCATTAAACACACGCAGGAGCTGTAAGGATTCCTGCCATGGAAGCTCTTGCCTTCTAGTCTCAGTTTCATCTTAATCGGGCTGAATTACTCGTGTTTTGTCATGTTTAATGAACACCCACGTTTTTGTGTGCATTATACATGGGATTATTACACCCCATGGTATATAAGCATTTGCACGGCAAAATACGGTAACTGTATTTGGGCCTTATCATTTTGAATTCTGTAGAGACATCTGAAATAACGTGGCCTGTCATGCTCTCTAGTGACTTGGAGATTTTTGCTCAAATTAGAAAATATTGGTGAGCCTGCCTCCCCTTCCTCATCCCAGAATTCTAGCTGCTGGTGAAAGAGGAAACAGACCCAGAGAGCAGTCAGCCCTGCACGCTACCTCCCCCACGAGGTCCTCTGAGGCTTCTTTCTGTGGTTCCTTGAACCCCTTTTCTACGGAGGGCAGATCTGCTTTAAGCCTTCTTATTCCTTATTCGTCTTTAGCTTCTGAGGTTGCGTAAGATCAGCAGGTTAGCTAGACAGTGTTGTTGGTCCTGGAAAAAGGGACAGCACAGCCAAGATGACATGACAGATCAAATCAGGTTTCTAAATCAGCTTTCTAAACAGAAAATCCATTTTTTTAAAAAAAGATTTTACTTATTTATTTTAGATGGAGGGAAGGGAAGGAGAAAGAGAGGGAGAGAAGTGTTAATGTGTAGTTGTCTCTCGTACGGTCCCCCCTGGGGACCTGACCTGGCCTGCAACCCAGGCACGTGCCCTGACTGGAAATCCAGCTGGTGACCCTTTGATTCTCAGGCCAGCACTCAATCCACTGAGCCACACCAGTCAGGGCAGAAAATCCGTATTTCTAATTGTTGTTCCTTTTAGTGGCCTTTTTCTAGCTTGAAAAGCTGAGTGCTTCCATCAGAAAAAAGTCCCCTTGGCACCAATGTAGGCATTCTGTCTCAGGTGTGGCCCTGTTTCTGCCGAAGTACTTCTGGTTTGAACTGCTGACTCAGCGCTTGATGGGACAGGAGGGTGGGTGGGAAGCTGATGCTCCGCTTGCTGTTGCCAGGCCTCTCGTAGGCCGCTGTTGCTCTGGGCCTGGGCTGTGGGTGGCTCCGTGGGCCACAGGGAGGGAAGGTTTGAGGACCTGTGTGTGTCTCCACAGCGCCCCTCCCCTGATGTGAAGGCTGAGCTGTTTGAGCTCCTTTTCCGGACGCTCCATCACAACTGGAGGTACTTCTTCAAGTCCTCCGTCCTGGCCAGTGTCCAGAGGGGGGTTGCCGAGGAGCAGATGGAGAATGAGCCTCAGTTCAGTGCCATCATGCAGGTAACGTGGAAAGAGCTGCCGAGTCTGCCCAGTGACTCAAGAACAGCTGGGACTCATTCGGGACACCACCTGAGTCCACTGGCTGTCTGCCCCTTGGTCTGCCTCTCTGACACATACTCCACTTTCTCTAATGTGGCCACTGCAACAAGTACTGTCTCTGAAGCCCTGTCTTCTGGGTCTGAAGTTCAGCTCTACCTTTCAGTGCCTATGAAGTTAGTTAACTTGGAACCTCGGCCTTTTCATCTGTAGAGAGGGCAGCTTAGATAGTGCAAGTGGTTGGCGTGAGGGGGCACTAAGGTATTTGACAGTCATTAGCTTCTTGCTTCAAAGATAGGTCTCATGAATGAGTCCAAAGGTTTATTACAAAAGATGTAGGAAGATACCAGGAGAAGTCAGGCCCCATGGGGAGAACTTCGAGCTAAGACTACGTGGGAAAGTTCCTAAGATCTGACCAGACAGGCTGCAAGACTGGAGATGATGGATTCTCTGGCCCTGCCTTTGGCATAAGGAGCTGCTTGCGGGGTGCAGGTTCTTCTGGCTTGGGCCGGGGGGGGGGGTTGCGCAGAAGGGTTTGGTCTCAGGATGTTTTAATGCTGCTTAGAGAATGGGGTATTTCCTTTCACAGGCCTTTGGACAGTCCTTTCTCCAGCCTGATATCCACCTATTTAAACAAAATCTCTTCTACTTGGAGACACTCAACACCAAACAGAAGCTGTACCACAAGGTAGGTGCCCGTCTCTCAGAAAGAATTCTTCATTGAAGGTGTCGGGCCTGGCTGAGTCCCACCCTTCTCAGGTCGACAGCAAGAGTGTGACGGGAAGTAGACTGGGACCTGGAGAGGCCCCAGGGACCCTGGGTCAGCCCTGTGGCCATCACTCCCTCTGGGCTCTCTGTCTGCAGAAGATCTTCCGGACCACCATGCTGTTCCAGTTTGTGAACGTGCTGCTGCAGGTCCTGGTCCACAAGTCCCACGACCTTCTGCAGGAGGAGATCGGCATCGCCATTTACAACATGGCCTCCGTGGACTTTGATGGCTTCTTCGCAGCTTTCCTCCCTGAGTTCCTGAGCAGCTGTGATGGCGTGGATGCCAACCAGAAAAACGTGCTGGGGCGAAATTTCAAGATGGATCGGGTGAGGAGAGAGAGGCCAGGCCAGGCTGAAGGGAGGGCAGGTGTGGGCTCTTGTGCCTGGTGCTTGTGACTCAAGGCGGGGCAGGCTGCCGTTGTGCGCACTTTGCACCCCTGCGGGCTCCGAGGCAGCCCGTGCGGTTCTGGGTGACTCGCTGCTGTGCCTGTGTTGATGGGTACATGCGTTCCCAGTTTTGGCTTTAGGAGCACTTGGGTTCTCCTTCTCATCAGCCATTGGGCCCCAGCCATTGGGCCCCAGTGTTGGCTCTGCCAGTCCAGCTGCTTTGTTTCAGCTTCTTGGTACTCCCTGTACCCTGTGACCAGCCGCTGGTTCCTCATGGGTCACTACAGCCTGAACTTGCAGACTTGCAGACAGGCTGAGAAGATTGGTCTTCTGGAGCTGCTTCTGTGGGTCCCAGACTTAAAGATGAGACCCCGGCTCTTCCCAGGCCTTTCCACCCCCGGCCTGGCTCTGTGTGGCCAGACCTGCTACCAGGTCCTGGGAGGTGCCCCCCAGGACTCACCCTCTTGCTGCCTGTCCAGGGAAGGTCTGTCTGGTGGGCTGTCCTCACCTGGCAGCATCTTGGGCGGCAGCTGGGCTGGTGACAGCTCTGGATGCACACAGAGCCATCACTGTTGCTGTGTCTGGGCCCCTTGGGGCCCAGCTTTTCCTGTCCTGGGGCCTCCTTTCTGGGCACTAGCCTGCCCTCCTCCTCCTCCCTGTTTTAGCTGTTTATTAAGTCTGCTGCTTGCTCGTCAGCTCTGCCTGGAACTTTTCTTTAGGACTAAGTCATGTTCCTCTTTCATCATCTCACATTTGATGAAATGGAATCTCTTTTGTCCATGTCCTGTTGGTGTCCCTGGCTTGATTCCTGTGCTTGCCGATGTCTGGTCTTAAGACCGACAGGTCGCTCTTGCTGGAGCAAATTACATCTTCCTCGCTGGTCTCGGTAGTGACGTGCATCGGGACAGTTTCTTAGACTCTGCTCCTGTTTGTCTTGGAATCTTTCCTTCTCTGGCACTTAATCTGGTTCTCTCTTGAGCTTCTTAAAGTTCACTTCAGCCACTTGGATTTTTTTTTCCTTTTCTAGAGGCCAAATCCTAATATTTAATGATCAGTTTCTACTGATGTCGTTACTAGTCAACTTCTTGATCTAAAGCAGTGGTTCTCAAACTCAGTCATGCATCAGAGCTCCTGGGGTGCTTATTAAAGATACAAAAATGCTGCCATGCGTTCCACCAGGAAACTCAGATTTAGCATTTGGGAGCCACTGTTTTAAAAGACACCTCTTAGTGTGTTTTCTTGAGGATGAAATAAAGGAATCAGTGCATTCATTCATTCACTCACTATTGGGAGCTGGCTACCTCTCAGGCCCTGCGCCAGGTACTAGGGCACCAGCCTCTGCCTCCGAAGAACTGTGTCGGGAAGATGGGCAGGAGCACCTGCTGTAGACCTCACTGTGCTTTCTGATGTGTATCTGTTGTCAGTGCCATTTCCCGGGTGAACCCGGGCTAAGAAAGGTCAGCGGTCAGTCGGCAGTTACAGAACTTGGGAATGGTAGAGCCGGGAACACGAAGCAGGCCTGGTGCTCTGGCTGTGGAGCCCGTGTGCCCTGCCCACCAGCAGGGTGAGGCCGGGCGCTTTGGGCGCTCAGAGCGGAGGTGCTGCCTGCTGCCTGGAGCTGGGAAATAGGAGGTGTCTGGGGGGCCTTTTTGGCCAAGGCGGGCTTTGTCCTGCAATTTGAAGAGGAGGGTAGGTTAGTCAGGTAAGTGGTTGGGATGGAGGAGAGCTGGAAGTGCCTTTAGCTAGTTTTTGAGCCTTGTCGTGTCACCTGGGGTTTCAGAAGGGATGGGTTGCCTTGGTGCCACCAGCCCCTCAGGGAGCCAGCCCACAGTGTGACAGGGAACCATTGATGTTGCTCCACATTTTGCCGTACAGTCCAGCGTTCAGTAGTCACAGTCTAAACACGGGGACTCGAACTTCGGTTGGTCTTGTAGTGCTGTGTGGCAGTGTTTGGGGTGTCAGCTGCGAGGGGCCCTCTCCATTTGTAGTCTGCTGTGCAGCCCAGCAGGCGGCAGCCAGCAGGGGAGGTGGTGGGTGCCTGCTGGCTCCTGCCAGTGTCACTCTTGAGTGGTAGGGCCTGCCTGGAGCCCTGGGAGGAGTCTGCGGACAAGGGCTTGTTGGAGGAGAGACACACCGGCAGCCGTACCAGTGTTCCCCTTCCCTTCCTGTCTCGTGACTGCAGCAGGTTTCCTTTCTGTTTTTCAATTTCTCTCCATAAAATTATTTATTTATTTATTTATTTATTTATTTATTTATTTATTTATTTAAGAGATCAGGGCAAGGGGAGAGGAAGAGAGAGAAACATCGATCTGTTGTTCCACTGACTTATGCAGTCATTGGTTGATTCTTGTGTGTGCCCTGACCTGGGATCAAACCCACAACCTTGACATAGTGGGATGATGCTCTAACCAAGTGAGCTAGCCAGCCAGGGCACAGCAGGTTTCTTCACCTCTCTGTGCTTCACTTCTTCATCCTTAAACTGGTGGTGCTGCTAGCACCTGCACCGCAGGCCTGTGGCGAGGACGACAGGAGCAGTTGCATGCGTGTGCGGGCCAGGCCCAGGTGTGCATGGGGGCGGCACTCACTGCTGTCCCTCCCCCGGCTGTCTTGGCTCACGTGTGGTATGAGAAGCGGTAGGAGTGGTTCGCTGTGTAGTGTTTGAGGAGCTCTGGAGCGCACTCTGGGAGGGAGGTGCCCGGGCGGGGGTAACACAGGGTGCTGTGTGTAGCTAGGCTGCAGCTGTGCCCCTGCCTTCCAGGACCTGCCCTCGTTCACCCAGAATGTGCACAGGCTGGTCAACGACCTGCGATACTATAGACTCTGCAACGACAGCCTGCCCCCCGGCACAGTGAAGCTCTAGGCACAGCCTGCTTTCCGCCTGAGGGACGTGAACTGCTGCTGCCACCACTGCGCCACCACACCCTCCGCCACAGTTGTCTCCCAGACGAGTCTCGGTCACTCCTCGGATTCATATACCCTGAGCAGCGTCGCCTGCCCTGTGCCCCTCCTCTATGACCCTCACCTGCCGCCCACCCAGCAGAACTGGCCTCAGGGTGTGTCTTAGCACTGGTCGGAGTGCCCAGGACATTCAGGGCAGGCGGAGGGTCAGGGCTAGGGACGGGAGGCACCAGGAAATCCTGCGCGGTGCTCTGTGTGGATCTTGCATCTGTCGGTCATGAGACTGAAACGCCAAGGACAGCTTATGACAGTGCCACCTTCTCACCATTCCACCTCCCTACCCCTCTCTGGCCTTCGGCTAAGGGGAGATGTGACCGGCCACGACGCTGGAACTGTTTTGGCACTTCTGTCACTCGCCCCTCCCCCCAGTTGCCTTGAAGTCTCAGCTCTGTGTTAGAGATTTGCAGACTCATGGTTTTTTTGTTCTTGTTTTCTCATCATTCCATTGTGATACTAAGAAACTAAGAAGCTTAATTAAAAAATAAAATGCTTATGTTGTTGTTATATAAACTCTGGTTAGGGAGCTTCTTCACAGTCAGAGCCTCCCCAGGGCCGGCATCTGGGGGTGGGGCACCTCTTGAGGGGGGAGTGGGGCAGCGAGGGAGGAGGCTCGTGTGAGCCCTGGGAGAGCGAAGGAGGAGGACCGGCTTTCGCAGGCACTGGCTGCATCCCACCCTCGTGAAGACACATGGTCCCCGTTGCCCGTATTCAGAGTGGGGGTACTTGGTGTCACTGACAGTCAACCTAGTGGTGGAGGTGGGTGTGGTGTCCAAGGGTGCGCCCCTGCTCTCAGAGCCTGGCCTCCCAGCTCTGCACCTCCCAGAAAACGGATCCCTCCCTAAGGTGCCCAGCCAGGCACTGTCCCTCAGTGGACTGAAGGGAGGTGGCTGTCTCTTGACGGATTGTCTGAAAATGGTGGTTGGGACGGGAGGGCAGGAGAGAGGGTATAACTGTGGGAGGATGGGAGGGGGAAGGCTCAGGGCTTACCCGTGTGTTGAGGGCTGGGGCCTTGCCCAGCCCTTTGTGAGTGGAAGTAACACGTGTCCCCAAAGTTTCTGGGGTACTGGTTCCGCAGTTCCGCTGCTTTAGGGGCCTCAATGACTAGACGGCAGGACTGGGGTGAATCTGACGTGGACTACCACATCTGGCAGGAAGAGGCTCGCTCACCCAACAGTAAGGGGAAAGGTGGCCCTTGGCTTGTCAGTAGAACTGGGGACAAAGGGAGTTGGGGGCTGATGGCTTCTACTTCTGAGGTCTTCATAAGATCAGTTTGGTGATGGCGGGCTGGGTGAGAGAGAGAGTGTGTGGGTGTTGCAGCCTCTTTGTGTCAGTCACAGCCTCTCAGCTGCCGCCAGCCCAGCTTCAGAGTTCAGGGAGGAGGAGATTAAAACTCCGGTTGCTCTTCTCCAGGAAGGAATTAGCATGCAGTTATTCCTGGGCAATGAGTCCTGCCCCTCCTGCTTGCTGAGGAGGGCCCAAGCGAGCGCTGTCTGTGCCTGAGACCAAGACAGGGTTTTCCGAATGGCTGGAGTTGGACGGGGTGAGGGGACGGGTTTTGTCGCCTGTGGGCCCCACCCTTGGACAGAACGCAGGGCAGGACTTTGGATGGTGGGAGGCAGGTGGGCTGGGACGGGTTTCTGATCCAAGACTGATAGGCATGGCCCCGGAGCTCCCAGTCCTTGGTGGTGTGCAGGCAGAGGCCAGGGACCTGCAGAGACCTCTGGTTCAGTTTCTCTTGTCCACAGTGCCCCACCCAGGGTCTGGCCCGGGAGCGGGAACAGGCTGTACGCGTGGGTGGAGTTGGATGAGTGCTCAGGCTGTTGACAGACCCAGAAATTGTCTGTATTCTGAGAAAGGGGCTGGGGGAAGGGCAATGGCAGGGGGTTCCAACCGGGCAGGCTGCTTTCCCTGCCGACTTTGACTGAGGAGGTTGTCCTGGCTCCACTCCGGTGCCCAGGTCCTGCGTGTGCTCTGGTTGTGCCAGTTACGTCTGCCTAAGGCACAGCCACTGGCTTTGGGGAAGATCTGATGAAATGTCACAGTTTGAAGCATTTTCCTCCACTGTCTGCTCTTGGCCTTATGCAATGGAGGGCTGACTTTTCTTTTAACAGCCATTTTTTTCTACTGACTATAAAATGTAGAAGAATATGTGAAAAATGCTGAAAACTGAAAGAGCCATCCAATCCCACTGCCCAGGAAAAACCCACTGGTAGTATTTTGGGTAAATTTTATTTCCACATTTCTTCATATGTGTGCAAATGTGTGTGATTTTGCCTTTCCTTTTTTCTTTTTTTTTTTAATAAAATTGATCTGTTGTTTTGTTGTCTCCTTTTTATTCATTTAACATGTTATAACTATTTCCCAATGTTAACAAAATACTAGGACCTGATCTTTAATGGCAGAGTGTGCTCTGTCGTGTGATATGCCACGTTTTGCTCAGTTTTTCTTTGTATCAGGTGGTGCCGCAGTGAGCTTCCTTGGGTATAAATCTTGATACTTGTCTAATGATTTCCACAGGTTCAGTTCCTACGTGTGAAATTGTGGGTGTGCAAGTTTGTGAGGCCTGTGCTAGACATCGCCGGGGCCTGATTGCTCATCTGAAGGAGAGTGTAAGTCACAGACGTCAGAGCTGCAGAATGTCTGAGCTGCAAGGCTCTGCTGAGACAGTCAATAAAATCAGTGCCTGGTTCTGTGGATCTTGGGGACTTCAAGGCCCAGGGCCCCTGGCTGGTTAGTGGCGGCACCTCACCAGCCCGCCTCGCTCACTTCGGGCATCTCTGCAGCGCACCAGGGCCAGGGAGAGGAAAGGAGCTGCTGGTTGTAGTTGACTCGTTTGGCCTTGGCCTTGATGGCAGTTCATTAATTTAACAAACATTATTTATCATATACCTCTATAAGCCAGGTGCTGGGCTCCAAGCAAAGGACTTGGAGATTAATAAGGTAAGAATTCACAGGCCAGTGGGGAAACAGGCAAATGGATTGGTGCAGAATGGTGTGCTAAGGAGTGTGATGGGGACTGGGAATCAGGAAATGGATGGAGAGTTGTACATGGGGCTGGGGGAGGGCGAGAGGCTCTCGGGGTCCTCGTTGAAGGTGGTGGTCATCTGAGAAGGGGCATGGGTGGGGGAAGGCCGAGGGCAGGCGTGGCGTCTTGAGGCTGACGACCCGCAGGCTGCAGTTGCAGATGGCAGGAAACTGCCACGGAACTCTGATGGGGAGGGTGACTGAGTTTTTCTTCTTTCCAAACCAGGATGTGGTGAGTAAACAGCAGCATCAGTAGCAGTAATTCTGGGACAGCCGGGATAAGCTGGGACTCCGGCTTCCCTGGTCTCAGAGGAGAGAGCTCTGGGCCCAGCGGGGCTTGTGTCTCCAATGATGGGAGGAGGCAAAGTCCCGCCGCCCTTCCTTTCCACGTCAGATGTAGCAGCCTGTCTCATCAGGAGGAGTCAGCCCTGAACTGGTCCCGAAATGGACAAATCGATGATGGGCAGGGTTTTATTCCATGCAGTGGGCATTTTGGTGAATGCTGTGTGACCACATTGGGTCACAGCTGGGCCAGCTCTGCAGGAAAGCTGTGGTGGTCCCCAGCCCCTCGGACTGAGCCGGCTGGCTGCCCTCCTCCAACTCCTTCTGCTCAGAGGCTCTCCTGAGCTCCCTTCGCAGTGACGGGCTGCCTGTGTCCATGCTGCCTGTGGCCCCTCTTGTCGTCGGTGCCTGTGGGGTCCCCCACCAAGATGAGAACTTGGAGGCAGGGAATTGGTGTGTACCCCCAGTACAGACCCAGAGCACAGGCCTGTACCCCCAGTTGCGGGGTGGCCTGGAGCAGGTGCCCAGTGATGTTGAGTACATCAGAGCTTTCCAGACTTAATTCAAGTGGGTTTTTCCTCAGAGGAGGAAGCCTCGAGTTAACATGGAGGTCTCCTCTAACTGATTTTTAACATAATGGAGCCACGTCCTCTGTGTCTGCCCAGAACGCCCGGCCTTCCCTCGCAGGGCTCCTTAGGGAGAAGCACTCAAGCGAACAGCTCTTCAGTGGAGGGTTTCTTTAGCTCAAGGACTCCATTCCCCACTCTTCCCCGTATGAACCATTGGGAACACCTTTAAAACACTGTGTTAATTGGCTTAGAGGTGGCGGGGTGCACAGCCGACGGGTTATGCAGCCTCCCGGGTCTGGGCTGGGAGGCTTGGGTGGTGCCGGGGAGAAGTTGGCCCTTGGACCCAGGACTCCGAAGGGCGCAGGAAGCCCTTAGGGTCAGAGTTGGGTGCTGGCCCCGGGAGTGGAGCTGGTGGAAAGTTAATTACTTAGATAAAACATCCAGGAGCTTCACAGGCCTGACATAGGTGGACATTTTGTCAACAGTTACATTTTTTAAGAGCTTTTTCTCCCTCCTTTATTATGGAAATAATAATGCACGCTCCTTGCAGATAGGACAAAAAGGAAATACAAATCTGAAGTGGCTTAGTGACGTCTCAGTGGGTGGCCTTTCCTGGCGTCCACAGCTCTCAGCGGGAATGAGGTCACGTTGCCTGTGTGGCCGCAGCATTCTGCAGCCCTCAGGCCTCTCTGAGCACTCGCACGCCTTCCGGTGGGTCACGCTGGGGGGAAGTGATGGGGGCCTCAGGCCCACCTGGTGTCTGGAGTTAGCCCAGGGGGCTGAGGCTAGAGATGGGTCTGAGGTGTGGCTCCCCCTGGAAGGCCAAGTCAGTCAGACACCATTGTTCTTGGAACCCCCAAGAAGCTCTGGGGAAGCTCGGGGCTTTGTTACGTTACTGATCTGTATTACGGTATTTCCAAAAATGGTCCCTACCTCCTACGGGAGGAGTTAGGCACCACAGACTCCTGGGTGCAGCCTGGGTTTGCTCCCTGTGGGTGTCACTCACCTGCCTAGGATTCCTCTGCTTCCAAGCAAATGCTTACACGTGAGATGAGGCTCAGGAAAAGTGGCTGCCCAAGGCCACACAGCAGGCCGCCGGCAAAGCTGGGGTCTGATTTTAGGTGAGTGTGGCTCCAGCACCTGCACCCTCTCTCTGCTATGCCAGTGCTCATGGGTCCTGCCGCTTAGCCACGGGGGAACCTGGGCGTGCCGAGGCCTGGGAAGTCCCTTCTGTGCCAGAGTCAGTTATTCCTGAACTCACGTTCTGATGAGTCAAGGTGGCAGGACAAGTGTCACCGTTCCCATCGAACCTGGAAGATAGCCCAGAGGGATAATGTGGCTTGCCCAGGGTCACACAACTGGAAAGTGGCAGAGCAGGAATTCCAGCAAGGTGCAGAGGGTTCCGAGATCTGCCCTGTGCTCTGTCAGGGGTGTGGTGGCCTCTGCGGTTTTGTTTCTTAAGAGGTGTGAGTGGAGGTGCTCTGGGTGGAGATGCTGGGGAGCGGGAAGCTGAGAGCTCGCAGTCTGTGTCACTGCCAGGTCCCACCCTTCTCTCCTTCCAGCCCACCCCCTCTCAGGGCGCAGCGGCCGAGCCAGTGCCTGTGAGGGGCAGGCCG